AACCGCCATTGCGATGCTAGTGTGTCGGCGATGGTGAGGGGTTCCGGACAAGGACGTACGCCTGTTCCCTGCTGGCGCCCGACCGGGTGCATCTGGAATATCTTTCGGCTTGATGAACGCATAACGCCACACGGAGAGAAGTTGTTTGCTCGTATTCACCGTTATAACCAAGTTGTCCGTGGAGTCAGGGCCACGTTGAGAGACCCAGACGACGTGTTCCTCAGCAGGAACTGAGGTCATCGGTTTATTGGGGTCATCATCTTTCACAGACGGAGGCATCTGATGGTAACCGCCGGTTATTTTGTCCGTCAGGCCCACAGCGGCGGGCTCTGCAAAGGGGTTTATGAACGTAAAAATGGTAGGCAGCGGTGTATCCCCAGAGGATTTGGCCTCTTCGAGTTCAGAAACATCCAAAACACGCTGTATCATCACGCCATGTGGGCTCAATGGCCAGGCCCTTCGTACAATGAAAGGCAGCTGGAAAGTATGATCAGCTCCACCTGCGAGATAGACTCGACCGATGCTGCGCAGGAAGATGAAAACAGCACGAGAGCGCGAACCAGGCTCTTTCTCCCGCTTCCGTTGTTGTTGGGCACGGCCGAATGGGCCAAAAGTGGGTCTGCTGCTAGAGTCCACCGCTGGTGTTGATTGCTCGGGATGATCATGCGTGGAGTGGGGTGGGCGTAGCGAAGAAGTTGAAGCAACGGCATTTGGTTGTTCAAACCACCCTATGCATGCCCACTGTATTGGTTGTCCTTCCTCTTCAAAATTCCATATCTTGCGAATGATACCCCCGCAGGTATGGACGGCCGTGTAGGTGTCCCAGATGAGCTCTTCTTCTCCTGCTGTGTCGCAATAATTTGGAACAGAACGCGAGCTGTAGGAATCCTCAGCTGGGGGATAACGCACTGAATTTACGTTTGATGTTGGAGACCCGCGAGTTCCTCGAAGAGTTTCGCGAATACTTTTGAGCAACTGCGACTCATTGGGCTGGGATACGAGTTCTTGTACTTGAGCCGACTTGCGAAGCAGATACCGATGCGCTGAAGACGAACCGCGCGGGTTCAAGACAATAGAAATTGGATCCGATACACTCATAACTATTCACACAGGGTGAGCGGGTCAATTACGGGAAGATGAAAGGTGTCGGACTCACTCGGGCTCACGTATTCACAAAAAACTCAGAAGAAAATCTAAATTGAAGTAGTATGGACTATGATCGCATTGATTTTTGTTTTGGATAGAGTGGCTGCTTATAAGTAGGATAAATGGGGTTTGGGACACAGATAAACCGTGATCGGTTGACCATTCGAGCCACACAGCTCGCCCCATACAAGGGAGCAAGCGCTAAACAGACGCGTCCGCAACACGCGACTGCACGTGCCGACAATTGTGAAAGCCTTCTTTCTATCCGCCGCGAGTACCGCGACATTCCATCGACGGGTTGTGTCCTTTGTTCCCCCTTGTTTTTCTCAGCCTCACCTTCAAAAGACATCTCACGAAAAGAAATTCACATCATGTCATCGAGCATTGAGCTCATAAACCCCAAGGCGGAGAGTGTCCGTCGTGCGGCGGCGCTGCAGGTGCGCGTTATGCAGCTCCGCAGAACTTATTTTTGATCAACTTTACCAGGTGAATACGACAGGCGCAATGGGCCTCGCCAATGTTGTAAAGAACAACTTAGGTTTGCGTTTACATAACTATCGCATGGTTTCTGTGAGTTCGACAAAGATTATAGGTCCTAGAGGTACCTTGAAAATGCTCGTGGACGGTGCAGGTCAGATCAAAATGACCAAGGATGGGAAGGTGCTTCTATCCGAGATGCAAATTCAGAATCCAACAGCTGCTATGATTGCAAGGACAGCGGTCGCACAGGATGATCAAGTTGGAGATGGGACGACATCAGTTGTACTTCTGGTCGGAGAGCTGCTTAAACAAGCCGATCGTTATATCTCAGAGGGCGTGCATCCCACTGTCATTGGACAAGGATTTGACTTGGCAAAGAAGGAGGCGCTTGCTGTATGTTCGTTCCATCTAGCAATAGGTCGCGTTAATTGATCGACCTTTAGTTCTTAGAGACGTTCAAGCGACCATCGAAGTTGGACCGTGCTACTCTCATCAACGTTGCGTATACTTCACTAGCCACCAAAGTTAGCTCGTCTCTCGCAAAGCAGTTGGCGGCAGACGTTGTCGATGCGGTTCTTACTATCAGGCCGCCTCAGCCATCAAAAGGTACTCAGTCATTATCTTGATAATTTTGTGATTATTGGGCACTTATGTTGGTCCCAGAATCTCCTGCCCAATTCCGCGACCCAATCGATTTGCACATGGTTGAGATCATGAAGATGCAGCATCGGACCGCATCTGAGACTCAACTCATCCGCGGACTTGTTCTTGACCATGGCGCAAGGCATCCTGACATGCCAAAACGTGTCGAAAACGCGTTCATTCTCACTTTAAATGTCAGTTTGGAATATGAAAAAACGTAGGTGATCCACTAATTATGATACTTCCGGATAACTCACAACTGCGTAGCGAAGTGAATTCTGGCTTCTTCTACTCATCGGCTGAACAACGCGAAAAACTCGTTGAATCCGAACGCAAATTTACGGATGCCAAGTGCAAGAAAATCGTGGAACTTAAGAACCTTGTATGCGATCAAGCCATAGACTCAAAGGAAAAGAAGAGAAATTTCGTCGTGATTAATCAAAAGGGTATTGATCCTCTAAGTCTGGACATTTTAGCCAAGAATGGCATCCTCGCGCTTCGACGAGCCAAGCGACGGAATATGGAGCGGTGTGTTCAGCGCATGCTCAATTTCCCTCCCTTCTTAACGTCGATTCTTTGAAGCTTACAACTCGTCTGCGGAGGTGTCTCCCAGAACTCCGTTGAGGACTTGACGCCCGACGTTCTTGGTTGGGCGGGCCTCGTCTATGAGCACACTCTTGGCGAGGAGAAGTACACTTTCGTCGAGGATGTCAAGGACCCAAAGAGCGTGACGCTCCTGATCAAGGGCCCTAACCCCCATACAATTCAACAGACGCAGGACGCACTCCGTGACGGTCTCCGCGCGGTGAAGAATGCTCTAGAGGATGAGGCTTTAATACCGGGTGCGGGTGCCTTCGAGGTGGCATGTGCGGCGCACTTGACAGGTCCCGTAAAGCGAAGCGCGAAGGGCCGCGTTAAGATGGGTGTGGCTGCCTTCGCGGAAGCATTATTGGTGATTCCGAAGACGCTTGCGGCGAACGGTGGGTATGACGTTCAGGACGTAGTCAATGCGCTACAGGTATGCCTCATATATATCAGCTATGGTAGTTTCACAGAGTGCCTTGTCTCACAGGAAGAGCAAGCTGAGGGAAACACTGTTGGTATTGACCTACAATCTGGCGAGCCTTTTGACCCAACAGTAGAGGGTATCTGGGATAACTACCGTGTAAAGAGACAGATGCTACACTCTTGGTATGTCAGCGAAAGTGTCCTATTTCGCATGAAACTGACATTGTCGTTCCAGCTCCGTGATAGCCGTGAATCTCCTGTCGACCGACGAGATTCTTCGTGCAGGTCGCAGTTCGTTAAAGCCTGAGGGACAGCAGTAGAATTAAAACATGTATGGTAGCTTGACGCAATCCTAATACTGATCGTAACGTGGGTATCGGACGAGAGACCAAGAAGAGCACCTAACGAAGAGCATTGTTAATCTCAGACATTAAGGCCACCAAGGCTGCGAAGTAGCCGTAATATACATACATACATGCGTGCTATAGGTTATGGGTAACGTCAAGTGGCAAACGCGATAAACAGTACAATAAGGAGTAATAAGCAAAGCATGGGGAAACCCCACCAAGTGTGAATTCGTGGCTGTTATACAGAGCAGTGTTCATTGCTTTATTGACACGAGTCCGAATCAGATGCAGTGTCCCAGCCAGCCCGCATCAACTTGACAGGAGAACTGGGGAAATTGGTGACAAATGACGCTTTGGGGTTGGTTAAATAGGGATTACTGGTCGGCAGCAGCACTGTCTTTTTCCACGCCATACCAGGGGACTTATCCGATGAGTATGACGATAGTACAGATCGAGGTCGAGAGACTTCGGAACGATCAGAAGTAATGGAGGGGGATTCATCCACGAGTCGTTCAACTTGCTCAGTGTCACCTGCAGAAGAATCCACAGAGGGAATGGACGACCGACGTCGGGTAGGGCGATCGGATGGGTCGGCGAGGGGATGAGAAAGTCTTGAGCGGTTCAATAAATCGCCTTCTTCATCCGAACTGGTGTAATACGAATCGAGATCATAATCGAACTCGTCCTGCGAGTCGGTTACCAAAATCTCCTGATCCGCTGATTCAGCTATGGTAGGAGAATTGCGCAATTTCGTAGGTGGTGGTGGAGCCCACCGTCGCCTAGCCAGATTGATCGGTGAGGGTTTGAGGGTGAGCTTGCCGACATAAGAGGACGGGGGGAGGGAGGGAGACGGAGCGAGTGCACTGTGACCTGCGTCCTGAGTGGCATCCTGACCAAAGCCGAACCGTTGATCTAACTCCTTCACACCCAGATACTCCAAATTTCCGTCATCTTCCGGGGTTACAGGCAGGTCAGTATCATCCTCGGTCGACGAATGTATGCCGTCAGCGACCGTCGAAGTTCTGGAAGAGGTATCAGCTGGGGCGGGAGCCCATTTGCGACGAGCAAATGTCATAGGGTTCGGCGCACAGAGGAGACTTGCACCATGCTTCATTCCAGTGGATAATAGGGAAGGGCGGCGATATTCTGTCTCTTCACTTGAATCTGCAGAATCACTCAGGGGCGACAGGTCACCGTGATCCGCATCACTATCCTCGTCACCATCCAAACAGATCTTCTTTGTAGAGGCCCTCCCCACTTCTTCCAGAGGCCGTTTCTGTGACGTACTCCCAGATGATTCCACCTTGACAATCGGTGTGGGGAGTGAAAAAATCTCTCCACGCTCGACTTCACTGTCACCTTCCTTCGGCTCCACCCGCGAACGGACTTTGATCACAGGCCTATGCGCCCTTGCGCGTCGCCTACCACCGATCGTGAAGCTCTTGCGCATATATCGACCATTCGTATTCGACTTCTTGCCAAACCGTCCGTTGGAATCTCGAGGCTGCGCTGCCACAGCCAATGATTTCGGCGTTGGAAGTTTCGGGCTTTCTTCAATCTCTGCTACCTCCCTTGGAGGTGTGCCTGGTAATACGATCTCATCTTCACTGCATGCAGTAGAAAGAGATGATGTCGATGCAGGTGGCCTAGATATTGACTGCATCCTAGGTTTGGGAGGCTCACTTTCACGTAACTTAAGGGTTGGCATACGAGTGCGACTGCTCCGACGGCCACTTTCGGGAGACGCTTTAGCGGCGGCTTTATGCTCTGGTACCTGCAAGATTTCCATCGCTTTTGCAGACATTCCAACCTTATTTTTTCGAGGACGTCCGCGTGGTCTCCCCGTACTAGGCTTCTGCTTTTTCGTCGGGCGTTCAACATCGATGCCATCCGCCTCCCGACGACGCTTGTAAGGTCGCTTGGGTGGGGCATAACCATGCATCGCAAATGCCAGTTTGCGGTCTAACGTGGCAAGAGCAGAGTGAGTGATCGGTGTACTGTTCCGAGTGTCTCGCGGCGTTGGTAAGAATGCACTGCTTCCGTCCCCAGGAAGGCGCTCGGGCCACTTCAGCGCGTATATCTCGAAATGTCGCATGCATCTGTAACAAGTGGATTAGCAGACTGTTCGACCTGGTTCCCTAGCAATTGCCAGAGCACATATCAGAATTACGTACCTGGGACACTCGACGCTAAAATGCTTCCGTGGACGTCCGCGCTTCCCAGTTCGACCGAAACCATGTCCCCATATCGGCTGTCCTTCCATATGAATGACAGGCAGCACATTCTTGCACGTCACACACGTCGGGAGCGGTTTACCATCCACATCTCTGGGGTCTTCCTCTGGCTTCTTAGTCGAGACACCCTGTTGCTCGGCGAGAGCAGGATGAATCATACGAGGTCGTAATGTCCGCGCTTCGCGTTCAGGCTCTTCCCGCGCCTTCCCCTTGCGATCCATCATATCGGAAGTCGAGGCTACATCGGTCTTGTCTTGCAATGGAGTCGCGAACCGTGAGAGAGTTCTGTCCTGGTCCCCTGCGCGCGTCCGCATACGCGACGACGAACGTACGGATGGTCCCGTAGAATCCGAGCGGTCAGCAGTCAATGGCGGAGTGACGAGCTGGCGCGCAGGATCCGCTGACGACCTACCGGATTTCCCGCCCCTCCCCCCACGACCTCGACCGCTTGTCCCCCGACTACTAATGCTCTCCAGCTCTCCCGATGTAGCCTCTTCTCTCGCTCTTTGTGCGCGCGTTGAGATAACCGATCGAAATCGAGTTGGGGTGGATACTGCACTACTGGTCGTCCTTTCATTGATCGACGTCGACTCCACCGAGAGAGGGCTGTCCACACCACGTAACCAATCTTGCACAGGAGCTAGATCGGAGTCGGGCGTCATCATACCGTTGCCCTTCGAGGGCCCTGCAAGTGGTACAGACGAACGCGAAGGGGGGAGTGAAGTCAAATCAGACGCGGTATCAGGCTCAACCTCCGCCTCCAGCTCAATCTGACCACCCCCTCCCAAATCGGCGTCTTTACCTATATTATCAACCACGGCATATACGCCTCTGCGGGTACGGCGCTCATTCACATTGACGGCAGCTTCACTATCCGATTCATCCGAATCGGAAGAGTCGATGTTGCCGTTGCCTTTTTCTGCAGGGACCTGAGGAGGGGATCCAGGGCCAGAATCGGACAGCTCATCCTCCGACGCATTGGGCGCATACCCACCCTTGCCGAGTCTCTCGCAGCTCTCACACAGGCAATGCCGGTTTTTGCGACCGACTGTAAAATAAAAGGGTTAGAGGCACGACGATCGACAGCCGAAAAATGGACTATGCTCACAATATCCGTCTCCATAGTGTGCGGTCACCTCATCTCCCACCGCGATCGGCTTGATGACGCGAAAGGTGATGTAGCGTCCTTCTCGAAAAAGCTCCACGTTATGATCGCAATCGTGCTGTTAAACAAGCACATTGCATTCGCACATCGGCCACCTTCACGCGGACGAAATAGGGGTTAGTGGAGTACTCACGTTTACAAACCGAGCGGGACCCAAGAAAAGATGATTTTTCTTGAGTTGTTTGGAATGGATGACGCTAAAATCGCGCCGGATCTGCGCGCCATCGACACAGGAACCATCAATGCGTTTGAGCTCCATATCTTCCTCCTCTGTGAGGTCGGCCATCGACCCCTTAAGTTCAGTTATGACCATACCCGGCATAAGGGGACGAGTTGCAAGGATACATAGTTCCGACTTCCCAGTCTTATGTGTGTAACGAGATGTATGCGCAATCTCAATGGAGCCCGTGGGTAGGTAAAGCTCGAAATAACGCGAGGCGTGGCTGGCGGGGATGAGTCAGCGGTGGGTGGAGACGGGGAAACGGGGGTAGCAGCATACGTGGCGAATGCGTTCAGCTGCTTTTGATCATAGTTCTTGACATAATATCGCACAGCGTCAAGCCTAGCGGACGTGGAGTCGCAAGTTAGGCTATAGATGGTGGAGATAGGGTGAGAAAATGGACGCACGTCAGGAGCTCATCAACTGCTTCCCGGATGGCTGTTTGAGGGGGACCTTTGGCGGCGACGAGCTAAATAGCATGAACACAGGCTTAGTTCTGAGATTGTCAGACATAGGCAGAAAACTTAAGACGCTCACACGTCGAACAGTTTGTAGGAGGTCATCGGGGTTGGCTTTGGGTATAATACGGCTAGCATCCATCTTGTGGACAACGAGAGGAACAGCCCCAGTGCCCAACTTCTCTACGAGTAAATGGCTGAGAAAGTCGTCGTCGCGAGAAAGATCGCGCATGTTCATAATCTTGGTTGGTCGCCATGCTGGATGTAATGACGAGCTGGAGCTCGTCGCAGCCTGTGGCATTGGGCTCAGCGAAGACGCAGTAACAGATTACAAGGGAAACCCAATATACACGACCGTGCTGTGGACAAGAGATGAGAGGGAAGCGATGGAGGCGAAGTTGAACAGAACGCGCATGAAGTGCGCGACAAAGCGCTGACAGACGCGCTAGTCGCGTGCCGCGGGAGTTTATAAGTTGACAGGGTCAGTGCTGTGGCCGTGTGGATGGCGCTGACATCACTCTTCCCATCCGTCTCACAATTTTATCAGACGCCTTCAATCTGACCTTTCAAAGCGACAAGATCGCATTGCAGTGGACATGGGTAGGGAACATGGTCATAGTTTCACATACAATATAGTCGTACGAACATGAACAAAAGCCGGTCATAGCAATTTTATTGACCCAAGGGCACTGCGGGCACAGGCCCAGCGTCCCCGCCACCCACCTGCCGGCCTGAGCGGCGAAATACGTCACCCGACACACTATGCATGCTTCTGTTTGCCCGTCCTGATCTTCCTCAGGTAAAACTGCAGCACCAATTCGCATTAGCACCCCTCGGTAGCCAAATCCGCCACAATAGGCAACTGACCTCCAGTTCTCTGCCCTCAAGAATGTACCCGTCTGCACGACCGGACTGGCCTGGTCGGCTGCTGATGGCAGCATACAAACGACCTGCGGCGAACTGGGACTCTAGGAGAGGGTCGATTTTGGCGTCTTATCGTGACGTCTGTCAGCAACACTCCAGGGAGCATGAGATACATCGGCTAGCATACCCTTCTTCCTTTCCTCGAATTTGCGCTGCGTGTGGTTAGACAGTTTTTTCTCCTCGGCTGTCTCAGTGCCCTCCTTCTTGGAGCCACGCTTGGTCACGGGTTGTGCATACTACAAAAGAGCTCAGTTATCGACACGCGAGCCGATGATAGAGAAACAAGCATACGTACGTGGTTCTCATACCACTGCCGGAAAGGCGTCGCATCGACCTGGATGATAGCGCTCTTGACAAGTGTGTTTGTACGGACAAGCTCATTGTTCGATGCATTGTAGACCTGCACCGTTCGTCAGTTTTCGATCATTTTACTACGATGGTCGAAAGGGGCTTTAAAGTGCTCGCAGATGTTCAACAGCTGCGACAGATTACTTACGACACCGATAAGTCTTGTCTTTCGTGTAACGTGCTCGCTTCCCCACGCAAAGTTACCAGACTCCAGGCGTAGTGCGCGATACTTCAAGTTACCACCTCGCACTCGGACTGTGTGGACCCGCTTAGGACCAAGCTTGGTGCTTGCGGCTTGACGACCAAGCTCGAATTTTCTCTTCTTGCGGTAGTGGGGGCGCTGGGCACCGGTGGCCGAACGTTTGTGCCGAGAGCTGCGGGAGATACCTGCAGTACGCAAACAGCGCAAACAAGTAGTAGCAGACCATTTCAACGGTCATCGCGCACGAGGGAGCAGCATGAATGAACAGATAGATGTCAGCAATGTAAGCCATTTCGATACGCTTTAAAGCGGACAAGCAACACTGACCCATCTCGGATGTCTTGAAGCTTGAGTGTGAAGGCCGCAGTGCTCTGCATCGTGGATATGTGCGATTACAGTTTGAGAAATAAGGTTTGATCTAAGTGAGGCTCCGATCGAATTTCAGCCACTGCGTTACAGCCTCGGCCCAAAGGGCACCTGGGTGCGACGTTTCTCATCGATTGCTGATTCTTCTGGGAGTGCTCTTGACTGTAACTTAACTCTGTCTTAGCTATGATTTCTACGGTCCAAATTGTCATTTTTTAGATAGACTTTAAGTGGAACTTGTGGTTGCCGCAAATGATCTCATGTGAGTGGCTATCGGTCATACCAACATCCAAACTACGAATGAATGTAGATTTGCTACTTACAAACTGTAAATCATTATTATTACCATTTTTTTTTTCGTGTCGCTAAGCCCCACTCACCGGCTATGTATATGATCGTCCAATCTTTGGTTCTAGTATCATTGCTATGAGGGTTCGGATGTTGTGGCACTTTTTGCGCCTGAATTCTCAACATCTCTGAAACTTGTGTCTTTTGTGCTATGTACAACACGGTGTATCTTGACAGGCCGACTTGGACGTGTCACGACTGGCAGTTTGGCGCTGCAGATTGCAATTTGTACTGCCTTGTGCATTCCGGCCGCACAATCTGCAGTAATTCCGCTTGCAATGAAAAAAATGGCTGTCGGGAAGAATCTAAGTGCCACTTTGCAAAATTTCGAGCGCCTTCGAACTGCATGCAGCTGTCGTTGGTTGGAGATCTATATCATCCAAGTTCGATAGTCTCTAATTGTAGGAGTGATGATTATTTTATCGAAGACCTCAGCCAGGCCCCTAAACCGATGACAGGTGCAGTCAGATGGGTTGAGTTCTCTGTATGCTCGTCGATGATCTACATTTTCTCTGTCTATGCTAGCACTTATGTTCTGAAGTAGAACGGTCGCGAGGCTCGACGTTTGGTCGACCCCGGATCTCGGCTATGATCATTCTGATCGCTGCATAGATCGCGCGCTTAAATACGTCGTAGGCGATAAAAGGCCGCTTAGAGACAGCCCTGCAAATCTTGCACTTTTCTCCTGTACAGCTACTTCTACGTGTCGTAGACAGCCAACATACACAAATATGTCGTTTCTGAACAGCCTACGACTTTCGGAAGCGACCAGGTCCGATGCGACGCTCGTCGCCGCCCCCAGCGAGAAAACGCCTCGCACGAGAGGCGTGTCTGCCATGGTATGCCTAGCATTGCCTGTCTTTCTGGCACTACTAGGTCGTTAACTTTACTTTCTTATCTGCTACCATGGTACAACTATCTGCGGTTATTCACAAAATATGTCATCGGCGTAAACAGCACTTCAAGAGTGCGACCACCGGTGTTGCGACGAAGAACATGCGCAATGAACTTAATCGATTAGTGAACACCGTGTCAGATTATCACACTAAGAAGGTATGCTTGACTGATATCTAGCATACTTTATAAAGTCAGGATTGATCACGGACCTCACACAGGCATTTGACACGGAGATGCAGTCGTTCTTTTATCTCTTCACTCGTTATCTCGCCGAGAAGGCGCAGAACAAGGAGCTGTATGTCGAATTAGTTCACCTAAAGTCCATAAACTGACTTGATACGCGAAGCGACTGGGATCGCATCAAATCCCCTGCTGCCGACCAAATCGTCTCATACGACCGATTACCTACTAACCCGGACCCGAAGATGTTGAACAAGCTCGCAGTACTTAAGGTAAATGGAGGCCTTGGTACTTCCATGGGTATGCGTGTTACCATTTCGATCTACATCGTGTCCTAATCTCTCCTAAGGCATGACTGGTGCCAAATCCGCGCTCGAGGTCAAAGACGACATGACGTTCCTTGATCTCACTGTGCGCCAGATTGAGCACCTAAACACGACTCATCGCGTAGATGTACCACTCATTCTCATGACGTCGTTCAACACGCACGAAGACACGTTGAGGATTATCAAAAAGTATGCTAATCAGCAGCTGCGCATAACCACCTTCAATCAAAGCCGATACCCGCGTATCTTCAAGGAGTCTCTCATGCCGTGCCCGAAATCAGCTAATGACGATAAGAGCAAGTGGTACCCGCCTGGCCACGGCGATCTGTACAATGCCCTTCTCCATTCAGGCGTGCTGGACCAGCTGCTTGCCGAAGGCAAGGAGTATCTGTTTGTGTCTAACTCGGATAACCTGGGCGCCGTGTGAGTAGATAATGCATTTCCGGTCTGTACGTACTGAATGAGTGGCAGCGTGGACCAGAACATTCTCCAACACATGGTCGACTCCCAGGCGGAGTTCATCATGGAGGTCACGGACAAGACAAAAGCAGATGTCAAGGTACGTCCTTGCTGGTTCTAGCTAAGCTTCGCCTCACAAGTGACTAAATGGCAGGGCGGGACTCTCATCGATTACGAGGGTAACGTGCAGTTGCTCGAAATTGCGCAAGTACCTTCAGAGCATGTTGAAGACTTCAAGTCTGTCCGCAAGTTCAAGATCTTCAACACGAATAATCTATGGATTAATCTGAAAGGTGAGCAGCATCCGTCAATCGAACGAAATTGGATTCCAACTCTAGAGGCTAGCATTGAAACGAGTCATGGAGAATGAGGGCATGGAGCTAGAGATAATCGTCAATCCCAAGACAGCTGACGATGGCCAAGCCGTCATCCAGGTATACTTGACATCTTCTGGTTGTATCGTATGGGTGCTGACGATGTCTCAGCTCGAGACCGCCGCTGGTGCTGCGATCAAGCACTTCCGGAACGCACACGGTGTGAACGTCCCTCGTTCGCGCTTCTTGCCTGTGAAGAGCTGTTCGGACCTGCTTCTGATCAAGAGCGATATCTATTCGCTCCAGCACGGACAACTCGTTATTAACGAGAACCGGATGTTCGAGACGACACCCGTCATCAAGCTCGGTGACCACTTCAAGAAGGTAGATATTCGTCATGGCCTGTTTTTGATCAAGCACTCAATATTGTGTTGCAGATCGCTCAATTCCAGAAGCGGTTCAAAAAAATACCCACTATCATCGAGTTGGACCATCTAACAGTGACAGGCGACGTCAACTTTGGCCGAAATGTGACTCTTCGTGGGACTGTGATCAGTGAGTTTCCAAGTTATTGTATTCAAGAAACGCCTTTGATGTGCCTTCTATAGTTGTTGCCAACGAGGGCCAACGCATCGATATACCAGATGGTTGCGTCCTAGAGAATAGTAAGTAATGTGTAGCGGTACGGTATGGTCGATTGCTGACCCGATTACATGGCCTAGGGCTACTCTCCGGAAACTTGACAATGACAGTGAGTATCTGACTATCTGCTCAGACGATGACCTCACGATGACCTACAGGAGCTGTAATCTCCCCTTATTGGGCTCCGGGGCCCTGTCGATACCCGCTATATACCCCTCTCATTAGACTGGCAGCGGTGCCTTGCCAGGATTGCAGGGGCCCGTTCGCCTTGGACATTCTCTGTGAAGGATACAAGTGTGCATTGGACGTTCTATTTCAGCCGGAAACGGTTCCACATATCGGACTGGATTACTTACGTCTACTATTATCGATTATCTTCATCCTTGAGTCACTTGAGCATACATGAACATTACGTAGAGTACTTACGTATGCTATCCACGAAATACGTTTGATTCGCTGGGAGAATTCCCTACTCGCCGCACTCCGCATCACTGAGAGAAAATAGGAGTTTCGTCCAGCTTGGCGAGAGTTGTTACTTTGATCTGGCACTGAAGTATGAAGGCTCGGAAGTCATTAAAGTGCGTCTCCGTCGACGGCGTACAAAATCTACGAAGACGCTAGTTATCATATGACTGATTCTTACAGTACTCGTAAATACGCATCTCAGGAGGTATCATAATTGTAATTTTAGGAACAGCACCACATCAAAGCCGTACACATACACATTTCCAAACGGCGCATGAAGATACAGTCCGCAGTAACAACATTCCACATTCAGATCGATCAGAGCAACTCAAAGGTTGTACCTGCAGTCAAAGGCGCATCAGCACAACTTCGAACACCACACAACAGTTTGAATAGGGACTCACGACTCACGCATCGCTCCGCCGTTCCTCTCCATGCTTCGCAGCATCCATCTACACACCCGCGCGTTTCACCTATCCCTACGAGCAGCTCTGCACTAGGGCTTGTTACAATCTTGAAATGCCGCACTTTCTCTTCGCTCTTATCCTGCGCTTCCCGCTTCTTGCGCGCAACCTGCTCGCGGAGCACCTATCTCCTGCTGGAGTTCTCGCGCCCCTTCGCCTCCGATATCTGGTCGCGCACCGCGGTCGACTTCCCATCGCGGTGCTCCAGCACAGTACGTACCGCGCCCCCGAGCGCTAGCGCTTCACGAGTCCTGTGGTGTGATGAGCGGTGCGATCGTCTTGTACGGCGAATTTGAACAAGTCGACCTTGACGACCACGTTTACAACCTGGAAGACGCACGCTGGGTGTTGGGCCGTCGCGAGGTGCACTATGACGGTCATACCTGAGCCGCCGAGGAGCGCATTCACCATACCCGAGTCAGACATCTTGGACATGCTCGTCTTAAAAACGTGACGTCGCGGAGATCGGCTTGGATCTGACCGAGGACAAGCGTGTTTTCGTGGCGAGACTCGTCACTGTGTGCTAGTTGAACATAAGGGACACGAAGTAGCGGAAAAGAACGCACTAGATCGTGTCGTGCGGACTGAACTTCAAGCGGTTGTGCACGTCCACGCTGACGACATTCAGGAACGCATCACATCCTGAAAGCGTCAAATACTCCAAGACGAGGTTGAACGCCTCATCCGTAGACTCGATGCGCGGGATCAGAATCTGCTCAAACTCGGGACAATGACCCTGCGGACGTCCGTCCATAACTCTGACTTGTACTTGAAGCTTCTCTCGCCATTAAATGACAGATCCTTCGTGAGGTGTGCCTAGCGACTATAGATCAGTTTCGCGGACAATCGACCACCCCATACCGGCACCTACCTGGCGTACAAACTCGTTGACCTCGCGAAGCCAGTGGCCGGGGCCATCATCATGACGAGATTCGTCGTAGAGCTGGCGGATAGCATTGACGATAATGACCGTGCTGACACCGTTCGCGGAACGCTCCAGAAGCGTGCGGAGCTCGCGCCTGGCCGACTGGAGGTTGTCATCCGAAACCGGCGGCTGGCGGGGTGCTTTGCTTGTGAATTTGTGAGAGCGGACCAGTTATTAATTCAAGATCAAGATATAGCTTCCCTGCAGCTGGTCAACCCTGGGTGATATACTCGTAGACAGTGTTCAAAAACCAGCGAATACGCTCCTGGTTGTCCTTGTGTTTCTGGCACTCGATGGTGACTTTCTTGAGGCGGATTATGAGCTGATCACGGCGCTCTTGCGGATAAAATTCGTCGCTAAGCAAATTCCTCACCACAGTGGCTTGCTCAGAGCCTTATCTCTGTGCTTCTGCGGGACGCGCTCGGTGAGTTGGTCCTGATTGAAATCAAACGTCAATCTTTGCGATATATGATAACGTTTGCCACGCACCCTCATACTAGCCATCTTATTCTGCAGCCGACTTTTCGTCGTACCTGTGTCGGCTCCTTCGTCTCCATTAATGTTCTCTTGGACGCCATCCCTCTAACCCCACAGCCCGAACTTCGCCCTGTGCGCGACCCGCAAGCTCGTTCTTGCGGCATCGAGCATCGTCTGCAATATCATCGCCACAGCGCACGTCGCCTCCCTCGTGACAGTAGCATCTTGCCTAAATTCTTCTCGAGGGTCCCGCGCAATACGATGCCAGAGCTAGGAACTCGCGCTTCAGGAATCTGCGGAGAGGGTTAGGGATAGACCCGAGACTTGTGGTCGGCACATGCTCACTGGCATTTGATCAGGACCAACCTCCCTCCCTCGAGAGATGAATCCATGGTCTGAACCAGGTTCATCAGCCCAGCGAAGATGCTCCTCATCAGGATGGGCTATTATATCTCTGCAGCCGTCCTTGCGACGTGCGAGCAAGTCTCGGCCGATGATGCCAGAGTCGCCGAAGAGTCTCTTGCGCACCTCCGCGTTGTTAAGGGCAAGACTGGCCAGCAAGCGTGCAGAGGTGCTGGGCTGCCTGATCCGCCTCTTCTCACGCGGGAACAGCACCTTTCGAGTCTTTCTTCATGCAGTATGTGTCTGTGACTCGCTGCGTGTGTGCCGCCAGTACAAAATTCTGGAGGAGCTCGCCCGTGTTTCATCTTGCGCAGATCTGGCTCTGGTGCACACTTCCGACCATCTGGAGCCATGCGACAACTTTTGGGCTGTCTGAAATAGCCCACGTCATTGCTCCGTGTCTGTCTGCGTCCCTTTCTCACTGAGCGCGAGACTTGGACTGCGATCCGGACCTCTGCGGAATTTTCAAGCTTCGTTAATCATTCCTAACACGGCATCGTCATGTTTCCCAAAGCAAGTCCAGATACATATGTAAATAACTTGACCACACTCCTGTCGGCACGTCCAGCATTCCTGGCTCACAACTGTTCCTTCTTGTCTCAGCCGCCTTGCTACGACTGGTATCATGTCCACCTCCATTCCCGCTTAGAATGCCGCTGGCGCTGGGTTTATCTACTTCGCTCCACCGTGAGATGGCTCTAAGCCGTACACTAATGTCAATGTGGATGCAAGCACTGGCCAATCGTGCAGGAATTAGCTCGACGATTCGCACACGGTTCAAATAGAACATGTTCGCGGAAAGAAGTAGGCGTTCATATTCGACACCACTGGCTTTCAAATATATCGCCACCCCGCTACGCCCAAAGCATTCACAAATGAGAAAGACATCGAGCGAGAATACTACTCCGAGAGCATCGAGGCTGTAAAGGAGTTGACGGGTGCAAGGCGGGCAGTCGTATTTGACCATAGTACGTCTCGGATCGATTTATATGTTTCATCCACACACTCGCACCTTGGTCCAGCAATTCGCCGCCGGCGTCTTGGCAAAATAGACGACTCTTCCTGGAAGCGTCAGCCTATTCGTCTCGTGCACCTTGACCAGAGGTCCGCGTCCGCCATCGCACGGGTCTACCAACGCCTTCCTCTTGTGGACGCACCGGGTCTCCTCCGCCGCTGCTTCCAGATTATAAACCTCTGGCGACCGATCTCGCACACGGCATACGACTGACCGCTTGCGCTATGCGACTACCGCTCTGTTGACCCGAAAGTGAACTTCATGAGCTGATCTAGTACAACTTCGACTGTTCGTGAATTTCGGGGAAACAGAAGCTTTTGTAACACTGTATTCCACATCCTCCGAGGCCTAAAGTGCAGGCGTAAGTCGTACATGCTATTTACCAATCCGAATCAAGAGAAACTGGTACAGCTTCACGAACATAATAAGTATTGCAAATAATATATCGTAAATCTCCATCTAAGTGCATATGGTGTATGGTGCGGCAAAACAACGAGCAATCTCAGTGAATGATGATAGGCCAAAACGGTTCGTGCAGAAACATGATCACGGACCGATGTGTATAAACGGAATCCAAGACATAAAAGGCGCGCTGTGCTCCTCGCGAAGACCCTTGACCGCATAGTGCAATGCCCGTGCAGCCTGCCTGTAGTCGGGCAGATTGCCATCCCGGAACAGCTGTTCGTATACACACTTTGCCACCTTGGGCGCATCACTGTCCTTTATCGACCACATCGTGGCAACCACACCGCCATACCCAGCGAGCAGCATGCCTGCAGCGAGATGAATGGCCTCTTCAGGAAGGTCCTTATCGCCTGTAGCGGTCTGGCAGGCGGAGAGGAACGCGAGTCCTCCACGATGACGTGCCAGCTTGATAACGTCCGTCGCGACCATCAGCGAGCACAATTCCACTGTCGAGGGGACTGCGGACGTCTTGTACTCCGTGACATGCGAAATGGACCCAGTCCGATTCCTTCATCTTGGTCAGTACATCTTCCACGGTCCCGATGGACTGCACGAGTGAGATGGGGGTAGATGAAAGGCTTTGAAGCGTCGTCTTGATATGTCCAAGCTCTATTTGTGCACCCGGCAGCCGAGTCTGCCTGTCTGATGCCGGCTGAGGGACAGCAACAAGGCGCATATTATCTATGGTAGTGCCTTCATGCGGCGGGAGGATGAGAGCACTGAGAGTAAGTGTATACGACGAGATGAGGAAATCCGACAGCTTCGCTCCTGTATCGGCATCACCATAAAGACCTGCAGCATGGATGGGGAGAAATGAAAATGGACCAGTGGGACACCAGAAGATACGAGATAGTTCTCCTGCGGTTGGAGTCTAGATTGAGAGCACAAATGTGAGTTTTCTTCGAGGACATCAATGCTGTAGTACATACCGAAAAAGCAAGGGCATCCAACACCGGCCGTACAACTTTCTTCCACAATTCTGAAAGAATGGACTTGAACGATTCGTCAGTAGTTCGACCCCTCCGTACAACTTCTCTTATAGCTCTGTCCATCCGCGAAATAACACGGCCATGACTGGCAAGCAGTTTATTCAGGGATTTCTGTAAGTTTTCCACTTGCTCGTATGTGATATCAGGGAGGGGGACATGAAGCACGTCGTCCGATTCAGCCAGGAGGACTAATGCATCACATCTGTACTGGCTGGCGTTAAGGATGACGACGGGTCCCGCATGTGCCGAAGGAGCGAGTTGTGAGACAGTCTTTGGCAGCAAGAATCTTTCAAAACCAGGCAGACATCTGACCTCGGAGAGAATCGTTTCGCGCTCCATTGCGAGTCCACGGTATTGTCGGGCCTGTTCCTCCAGAGATAACCCACATCATTCTTCATCTCTCCAGCTCCAGTCATGTCATGCCCACTACCCTTCTCTAATTCATATGAGACTTGACGGAGTCTGTTCGCAAGCGTCGGATCACGACTCTGCAACTCATCGAGGGGTGTACGAAGCTGCAACAACTGGTTCCAGACAACCGAACGGCCTTGCTCGAGCCATTCAACAGCTCTGTTGCGGTACCCACGTGCAAGTGCATCGACTGCTGCATCTCGTACAACATCTGCTGCTCGTAGGAGTTCGCGGTGGCGGTCTTGGAGGGGCAGGCCAAGCCATACTACTTGAGGCACAAGGTCGATGGCTGCAGCGTAAACATCAAGAAGAGAATCCGAGGAAATAAGGTGAGCGCAACGAATCCATCGCAGGGCTGCTTCAAGACGAATGGAAGAAGGACCTACTGATGAACAGGCCGCGCCGGAGAAAGTCGATATAGCACTCCTGAGATCAGCAATATCGCGGAGATGCCGGAAGCGGCTGAAAAACGAGGTGCCGAGGTTGACCAAAAACTGAAGCTTGTGAGGATGATTATCAGGAGTAAGTCGCACTGCGTCCTCTTGCACTAGAATCAACCAGTCGATATCTGCCACATCGCCCAGCCGATCGAAGCGAACCAACAGTGAGATGCCGAGGTTGTTCAAAAATCTTGGCTTGTGCGGATGGTCATGAGGAGAAAGTCGTATTGCGTCCTCTTGCACTGAAATCGACCGGTCAATATCCGCGACATTGCCCAGCCGCTGAGACCGAGTCGCCAGTGAGCTGGCGAGGTTGTTCAAATAACCCGGCTTGGTAGGATGGTCATAAGGAGTGAGTCGTACCGCATCCTCTTGCAATGAAATTGACCGGTCAATATCCGCGACATCGCCCAGCCGCTCGAAACGAGTCGACAGTGAGTTGCCAAGGTTGTTCAAACGACTCGTCTTGTCAAGATGGTCATGAGGAGTAAGTCGTACTGCGTCCTCTTGTACTGAAATCGCCCGATCAATATCTGCAACATTGCCCAGCCGCTGGAAGCGAGTTGCCAGTGAAGTCCCGAGGTTGCTCAAATAAGTCGGCTTGGTAGGATAGTCATAAGGAGCAAGTCGTACTGCGTCCTCTTGCATTGAAATCGCCCGCTCAATATCCGCGACATCGTCCAGCCGCTCGAACCGAGTCATCAGTGAGTTCCCGAGGTCGTTCACATGACCCAGCTTGTCAGGATGGTCATGAGGAATAAGTCGTACTGCATCATCATTCACCGAAATCGCCCGGTCAATATCCGCGATATTGCCCAGCCGCTCGAATCGAGTCAACAGTAAGTTGCCAAGGTTGCCCAAACGACTCGGCTTGTCAGGATGGTCATAAAGAGTAAGTCGTACCGCATCCTCTTGCACTGAAATTGACCGGTCAATATCCGCGACATTGCCCAGCCGATCAAAACGATCCGACAGTGAGACGCCGAGCATGTCCAAATAACTCGCCTTGAGGGGGTGATCGTGAAAAGTAAGTCGTACTGCGTCCTCGTACACCGAAACCGATCGGTCGGTATCCGCAATGTCGCCCAGCCGCTGGAAGCGAGTCGACAGACAGATGCTGAGAAGGCCCAAACAGGCAGACTTGATGGAGTCAACATCTGCAATTGATACTATGGCCTCTTCGAAAACCCCAATTGAGGCTGTGAGATCATTGAGGTCACCGAGCAGTTCGAAGCGTTGCCTTAGCGACTCGGCAAGACCAAGCAGAACTTTCACTCTCAGTGGACTCATCTCTGCCACGACCTGTACAGCAGCGTCCCAACTTGCTATCGCGGTGTCCAAATGGGCGGGATCGCCGCGTTGCTTGAATCTAGTGTAAAAGGAAAGGGCACATCGACACAATGCCGGCAGTACGCACTGTTCCAACCAAACGTCAATGTAACACGATGATGTTGCATCGATGGGAGCTGATCGCCGAGGTGAAGAGAAGTCCAAGGCATTGCCAACTTCGGGCCTAAGCAATCATCAGTTAAAATACTTTGTTTCCAGAGGAGTACATACGTAGTGGCGTCCCCATTGCTTTGCGACGTTTGGTTGAGTAAGGTGGAGGTATTGTCATCATCCCTCCGTAGTCTCTTGGCGCTGGGAAGGTCGGACATGCAACCATCCACATCACTCCGTGACCTCTTGGTGCTGGGAAGGTTGGATATGCAACTATCTTCATCATACTGTGTCTTTGGGCTACAAACCATGGATGTCATGGCACTGAAAAGCTGTATTACATGAATCAGCCCAAGAAAGGTGACAAGACAAACGCCACACACTCGGTGTCTATCATCGCACACAATGTTAAGGGATCTACCAAGTGATCAGAATCGCTTGAAGTACGGCGACTTAGCTATTATCGTATCGATTGATTACACATAAGTAGCATACCTCATCTTTTCTCCAGGTAGCATACTAGAGTAGGCAAGAGTCATGATCGAATGTGAATTCCTACGTGTGTGTTTGACAGGGACCCATAAGAGCACAAGACGTACTTACTCACGCTGCTTCGTTCACTGCAGTGGTGAGAGGGCTTGATACAGGATGGGAGGGATCGGTACCCTCTGAATGCCGCTGTCTACAGCCACAATATCTAGTTTGGATTTAAACACTCTCAGGCGAGCACTGTCTAGACTTACTCTGGCACAGCCTTGTTCGACATCTTAGTAAGAATTCAATCAAGGCTGCATACGGGAGAATAGTGAAAGGATTGGCAATGTACGAGCTGAGTCGGGCCGATTTATGAGATCCACGCACGGGCGCCATTTTACAGCAGCATGCGTGGCTAGCACACATCCAGTACAGGACATCGTTGATTCAGCGCCCACAAATGCCCAACCCAGATGGGAGGATACCTACCATTTGCTGGTTGCTACCTATCCACACGCTATCTTGCCCCCCTTGGATAGCGCCAAAATAGCGCCCTTTGAGATATGAGGATGAGGGGCATCTGCACGCTATCTCAAGGCGTCATTTGAAGCCATCTTTGAGGTGGCTTTGGTGATAGGCCAAAGTGCTAAAAACGAACGAACATATCGCTTAAAGTGCCTCTAATTGCCGACACACCTGTGCTCATTGTGGGAAGCAGGAGCGCTCATTTGCTCTGGACAAGTATCAATGTGACCATGGCCGGCGATGCACTAGCACGGATGTTCTAGTATCTGGATGCGCTCCATTGTCCTTGTACCCGCGTTAACAGCGTTAATTAATTCACTGCCTCAGGAAGCGCAAATTCTCGTAATGCCAGAGCACTGCCCCTAAGAAAGACTTTGCACCTCACATTGCATTCCCTACGTTCGTAAGTAGCAATGGAAATAGGAAACAAATTGGAAGATTGCGCACATAGTTTCACTAGATATTGCGTCGACTCGCTTTTGTTTGGAATAATCTGACAGTGATAAAAGAATGAAATGGTGAAAATGCGAAGACAGAACGGGGTCGAAACGCATTGATCCATGGAATTGGTGCGGCGTACGCACTATTGAGGGGCATGAGTATCTGACAGCAGCATGCGAGATAACTCTGCAATCTCAAGGAGGGGCGATAATCCTGAACACCTCATGTCCGGGGCTTTGAGAGGACACTCCCCTCAGCAAATAGTGTTCAGTTCAGATTGATGCTCTTCAAGGCGCTCTCTGCTTAACTGCGTCCGAGATGAGTACAAGTTTCTGGTTTCTGACCGGCGCATGTACCTCGCCGGCGGTGTGCTACATGCTGTACGCCCTGCGCTTCCATACTCCTTGTCCTCGTGGCTGACGTCCTACATCGCGCCTTTGCTGCCCTCCTGTTGCGATACGCTCGGAGCTGCGGATTATGCTGTCGATGGACGCGATGGGTGCACTTGCCGTGCGGGCACTAGTGGAGCGGAGAGTGGATTGTGTGGAGGGCTGAAGATGAGGTGCATGTATTGGAATGCAAGGCTCACCGTTTTGTATGTGCGACTCTCGGTGTCTCGCAGATGCTACCCAGGTGCCCTCCGCATCCACTGTGCCACACCTGTCCTTGGGGGAGCTGTCTTGGAAAGCCGGAGCCTTCTCGCTCGACTCGCACGATGTGCCTGGGGTCGAAGACTCGTGTGCCACAGGCAACGTTTGACGCGCCTCGGCGTGCCACTCGCTGCGCCGTGGGCGCCTCCAATGCGATATGACGACATATCATCTTCCTCGCCGCGCGCAGTCCAACTTGGGGTCAGCGTATCGATACACAGAAGTGCCCGCGCAGCCGTCTTGACCACTCGAACTCGAACTATCATCTCATCCATGCTATCACTCTCCGACCTTCCCGTAGAGCTCTTGCTCGACCATATATGCCCATTGCTCCCTATCCAAGATCTCCTCTCTCTGTCGAGCACCAGCCACAGCTTCCATAATCTCATTGCCGATGAAACATTCTGGCATCGGAAGCTCGAGGAAGACTTCAACTTTTCTGGCTCAGAGACTGCTAGGACTCATGGGTGGCAGTTTCTTTATCAGCGATTATCGAATCCTAGGCTATTTGTGTGGGGGTAGGTCTTTGTTTTCTTTCGATTGGCCTCATCGGTTCAATCGTCCATTGCAGGGAAAACAGTAGTGGTAGACTTGGGCTAGGAGATGCAGGACGCTCACTACAGCCAGGAGCCCCTTATCCAGTCGAGTTGCGTATACCAGGTGCTCGCATCGTGAGTCTAGTCGCAGGAGGAATGTAAGCGAAGATCCTCGTGAATTTTCTCAAGCTATCTGCCTGACACGCACAATCGGCAGGTCGTTCCATGCACTCGACTCAAATGGAAACATCCACGTCTGGGGTGAGTCAGTATGTCATATCAGCCAAAATCGTGTCGAGAATATGCAACAGGTACTCTGGATGGAAATAGTGGTATGCTGTGGAGCAATGGGTTCTCCGTTGCTGCAAGGAGGGCTGATCGTCCTATGCGTCTCAATCTCCCAGCAAAATTCCGCAGTATCAGGTGTGATTCCCGTATATCATGTGAATGGCGCGGTTTCTGATGACCTTCGCAATCAATGCAGCTGCGGGCGCCTGCATAGCGCTGCATTGGATACCACTTCACATGTCTGGGCTTTCACTTCCTGGGGAAGACCCTTCCGACTGGTATCTCCTCTCCTTGACAAGTCGTCGCCAGAAGCTACACCCACCCAGATATCCAGCGGGTGGGGATTTTCCTCTGTCCTCACCGAGTCGGGCGATGTCTTTGTCTACTGGCCCTTCTCAGGACGCTTGCAACAAGTCATTAACGAGAAGAATATGGAACTTGACGAAGGAGGCATATCCGAATCGACGCGAGCAACCCCTACTAAGGCAGAGCCCACTGTGATTCCCTGCTATCCGTGGGACCTGCAAGACGTGGACCCTGTGCGATTGCCGTCAATTCCAACACGTCTCCCTAGGCTGCAAAGCACCGGACTCTCTGACGAGGAGCTGGATGCCGAAACGAAGCTGGTCAAAATTGCTGGCATGGACCGTATGATCATTGGCCTAACCAACAAAGGTCATGTCTTGAGGTACGGTGATCTTGGGGGCGAAGATTCGTACCAGCGAGGACACTGGGAATATGTGCGTGCTTTGACATTGCTCCATGGTCTGTACTGGCTTAGATGCCCCTCAATGATAGCTTGCCGAATTCAGCGACGTGGAGAAAGTGAGAATGCACCGTTTGTATAGTGGTCCACCTGCCGAGGACCCGTCATCGGAAAGACCGCGTATAGAGCCTCCAGAGACGATGCATATTACACACGTAAGGGAATTCTCCATACTGACAACCCGTTATTTTTTCTCATCCCCACTCTCACAGATCACCGCCCAATACAAGACATTCGTAGCATACTCTACTGGCTCACGTTCTGTCGTCCTCATGGGCAAATTCCCCTCAGATGGCGCAGCACCCAGCCCGTCTGCTCCTCTTCAACCCACTATAATAGCTGGACTACAGAACCGTTCAGTTATCTCTGTTGTGCTGGGCGATTATCATCATGGTGCATTGACTTCCACAGGGAAGTTACTTACGTGGGGAGCATTCTCCAAGGGTGCGCTGGGACTCGGAGATCCGGTTAAGATCGCGATCGGCCAGCCAGGTGGATTCGCAACCGAGCAACAGCGGGTGCGAGCAAGGAGGCACATGCCACATGAGCACCCTCCCTACGTCGGGACACCTACGGAGGTGCGCTTTGATCACACCGAGAAGAAGCGTAGGGAGAGATACTGTTTCGCCGCCGCCGCCGCAGGGTGGCATATGGGCGCCCTTGTGATCGATCTTGAAGTAAGTGTCCGTCGCATCTGAGTGGCAACCGAGTACTGAGACGTTACAGCGTGATGAGGAGGAGGACAATGAGGACCCCTCGTCAGAGATACCCGGTGCCTTCCCGGTTGAGGATGTCAATGTTGTTCCACCACCCCCTCCCGATGCTCTTCAAGCACCAGGAGAGTATCCCATGTTGCCTTTTGGTCGCGGCGCCCTTCGTCTTGGCTTTGCCGCTAGAGGTATGTTTCGAGGTCGGGGAACGGGGCGAGGTCGAGGCGGTTAGATCGACCTTTGCAACAACTAATAATGTAATAATATCAATTTTCTGGGGTTGGCGTTTAGAAAGTTGTAGAGTATGTGTATAAGGAGTATCTGTACTGTCAGTCAACATTCAATTGTTTTTGTGAGTAGCTTATGTGGCGAGATATCATTTCACTTCTCCTACCCAGACTTCTCAGGCCTTACTCATATCGCGGTTGCAGTTGAGACCATGCTCAACTTGAACAGCAGATGTGACCGACCAAACGGCCTCTTCGCAGCCAATCATGGGGTATCGGGATGGGCCATAATGGCAGAAGACGGGATCCCTCGTCGAATATTAAACGGCATAATGTGACGAACTTGGGCCTTCTTCCTCATTCCTTTGCTCTATCCACAGACTAGACTCACGTCGAATTTCGAAGATCCGCTCTTGCGCCGGCGGCTGCGCTCCCGTCAGATGCCCCCCAGGCATGCAAACCACCGACCAGCCAAGTTCGACTGAAGAAAATCAGACTACCGATAGCCCTGACGCCCCTCGCTGCTTGAAAGTTGAGGATCGAAGTATTACAATACCGTCCCGCTTATGGCTAGCCTCGGATTCATCACGTCCATGGCATGGTGCGTGACATCGAGCGACAAGAAGTCCCAGTGCCTGGGGCCAGAGTGGCCTTGAATCCCTCCGCGTTGTTGGAAGAAATAGCCATATGGTATGCATCCATAGTACAATGCAAAAAGACAGCTGACCTGAACGGCGCAGCAACACATTGTATGGGATGATTGGTGCACATACATTTGCGAGCCACGGCAATCCTCCTCTAGGCTTAGTCCCATTAACGTCGGAGACTCAAGTGAATCACGGGCTTTCTAGCCCACAAGATCTCGGCGTACAGGGGCGCTATCTCGACAGACTGCCTTGCCTGTCATGTCGGCCGGTGTTCCTTCGGGCGTATGCGTGTCTAGACATCGGTCAAGTGCGTCCACAGAAAAGATGGCTTGATGGCGGGCTTCCATGATTTGTGAAGGCACAATCAAGTGACAAGGAGAGCAGGAAAGCCGTAAGTTGGCCGCAAGGGTCGCAAGACTGCGCAGGCACTAAGTACTTCAAACAGTACTGAGAGCGCGATGCCAGTGGCAAGTGAGACGTTCCTTGGCGGACGAAATTGACGCCATTGCTTGGCGGAAGGCGGTGCCGTTGAACCGGTACCAAGTCGCCGGTCGCAAAACAAATAACTTGATGAGTGGGATAAACTCATACGATTTGTCGACGGGCTGGCCTTGGAATTCTCCTGAGTAAGTATCGGACAAAGAAAGTGCGAATACTATTCGAAACTTCGACTCTGGAAAGGACAACCTCCCGGGTGGAGATAAAGTATGTGCCGACGTCGCTGGGGAATTTAAGCCGCGACCTGCGCTACTTACGACGGGGATACGGAGGTGCTTGAGACTAAGTTGATCGACAACGTTTTTGCAAAGCCCGGTCACGTCCAGGAGACAGGCTTGGGCCTGATTAGACATTAGAGAGATTGACCTGTTGGCGGTGAAAAAGGGGCTAGTCCAAGCCTAGACGAGAATCGAGATGCGCCTTGAGCTTCAGCGTTCGAGTCGACGTTGAGCCCTGCACAACATACCAGCGCATCGGAGATGATCCTTGAGCGTGTCCGAGGGATAAGTGTACAGAGGTAAGCTCATTTATCATAATGAAGTAGAGTTTGGATTAAGTATCGAATGCACTACGATAGCACAATCAAACACGTGTGATGGTATGTATGAGAACGTGTGCCGGAGCGATGCAAAGCACGCTGAGATGCCACGACGCCGCTCTGCTGTTTTGGGGGTTCGACACGGGGCCATCAGGAAAACCTCGAGGCGTCGGGACACGAAGTCGCTTATGTGGCGGGTTGCGTCATTTGAATTGCCGCTGCCCATTCCTAATTGACCTAAGGGCATCCAGTAAGTAGCCTACTAGAACGGCATGAAGGGACCCGGGAGATAGCGCTACGGAACAAGCGTCGCGTAGAGATTTAGGCGTGATAGTTGCTCACCATAGTCTAAGGCGCAAATGCTAGATTGGAAGTTTCATGGGGCGTCGTCGTAGAATCTGCGGCTGCATGTCGTGATTCTACTCGTGTTTCGCGGTCGCGCATGACATCGGAACGACGGCTAGATAGGTAGACGACGCCATATCTGGAGCGCACCTGCAGCGCGCATCCTCCACAACTGGACTGAGGGACTTTTCAAGTCGGTCCGCGCGCATACAATCAGTCCGGCGCTTCCTCGGTCCTCGGGATTGTGCAAATTTTAGACGCGTCTGGCAGCATTCGGACTGACTGAGAGTGGATGGTACTGAATCTCAGGATAGGAATATTATGGAGATGGAAGCCGTCGGGACGAGACGCGACATATGAGAGGTTTTGCCGATGTGACTGGCTTCTGACAGAGGCGACCCTGCAGCGTGGCAAATGGGACTTGAGCGGAGCATGTGTGAGTGGTGCATTGTGCCCGTTCGGAGATCTGTCAACACGAGGGTTTGATTCTGCCTATGAGCAACTGAAATTGCGAAGCAGTGTGCACGTATCTGGAAGCCCATCGGTGCCTACGCAGACGAGACTCGCATCGTGCCCCCTGGTAGAAGCCCTGACACGCATCAGGAGCTTACCAAGTGCGCTAGGCAGGCCACATTATGGAGATGTTGAGCCCGCCGGGAATTGGACGCTGACATCACGGCGGAAAAGGGAGGGAGTCGGACAAGTTGGAAATGAAGAGGAGGAGAGACGCCGAGATCTTGGGCGCATCTGAGTCTAGAAGTAGCCGGCAGACGAGTGGAGGTTGGTTGTGAGGGATACATAAGGCGGAGGATGATGGAGACGGAGGTCGCCATAAAACCCGTCGTCGACGCCTGGGATAGTCTATGCACGCACGTTGGTCGTGCCAGTTGGAGGAGAAGCCGCGTCCGAGTCCGAGTCCGCCTCTGCCTCTGCCCCCGCTCTGCTCGTCGCCGCCGAATCTGGGCCCATCGCTATCGTCGCCCATCGCACGGCTCTCGCTCGCCCCGGTCCTCACGCCCGCAGGCCCAAGCAGGAGCCGCACGTTCTCCCAGTTTGCCTCCTCCGCCTACGCTCCCCGGGGATCGATCTGCGAGCCCATCAGCGAGGAGGCCCCAACCCTCTCCACCCCCAATCCGGACGACGGCCCAGTACATAAACGTCATCACCGTCCCCGTGCTCCTCCCGCCAGGACCCTCTCCGCACCTCAGCTCATCTCCACCACTACCACCCAGCCGTTCCACATAAACCCCAGGTGCGCTCCCTCTGCCGTGTGTTCCTCCCCTCATTTTTCATCCTATCCCGCAGTACAACGATGGCCACCGATTCCCTCATGCCCCGAAGCGACTCCTTCAACGCCCGCGTCCGTGGCGCCAGTCACATTGACTTCAAAACGGCGACCACTGGGGTTGCTGCAAAGGCCATGCGTAACGAGATCAGCAATCTCGTCAAGTCTGTTCAGGATCTCGATACCAAACGCGTATGTCCTCAGTATTCGCTTTCTGTGCTCAGGCTCAGCCCCTCTTGCAGTCTTTCGATATCGAGATGCAATCTTTCTTCTATCTCTTCACGCGATACTTGTCTGAACGCGCAAGGAGCCAGGAACTGTAAGTTGATGCAGGCTTCTAAGATTTGCATTTACTGACGCGTTTGTAGCGTATGGGACAAGATCAAGTCTCCCGCAGACGACCAGATCGTGCCCTATGCGCGGCTTTCCGAAGGGTCGTCGTCCAACTTGAGCACACTCGCAGTCCTCAAAGTCAACGGCGGTCTTGGTACTTCCATGGGTAAGCATCCCAATAGATTTGCGCGCACTCCAGTCTGATCTAATTTGGCATAGGGATGACTGGTGCAAAGTCTGCGCTCGAAGTCAAGGATGACATGACCTTCCTTGACCTTACCGTGCGCCAAATTGAGCACTTGAACACAACAAACAGGGTCGACGTCCCGCTTATCCTTATGACCTCCTTCAACACCCACGACGACACCCTCCGTATTATCAAGAAGTATGCAAACCAGCAGCTCCGCATCACCACATTTAACCAGAGCCGATACCCCCGCATCTTCAAAGAGACGCTCCTCCCGTGCCCCAAGACTGCTGATGATGACAAGAAGCACTGGTATCCTCCAGGGCACGGTGACTTGTACAACGCACTGTACCAGAGTGGTGTACTTGATCAACTGCTCTCCGAGGGCAAGGAATATCTTTTCGTGTCCAACTCAGATAACTTGGGTGCGGTGTACGTGGCTACGCCTCCGTAAATCGACTGCACATCTTAGTTGCGATTATCACAGCGTCGACGAGAAGATCTTGCAGCACATGATTGAATCTCAAGCAGAATTCCTCATGGAGGTCACTGACAAGACAAAAGCGGATATCAAGGTGCATATATACGTGTTTCGTAAATTGTTCTACTTGTCTAATTACATTTGCATGTAGGGTGGAACGCTCATTGATTATGAGGGGTCCATCCGCTTGCTGGAGGTTGCTCAAGTAGCGTCAGAACACGTTGAAGATTTCAAGTCCGGTGAGCTCTTCACCGCATGGACAATACGGCCCTGAGCTGACTGGTAACAATTGCAGTACGGAAATTCAAGATCTTCAACACCAATAACTTGTGGATTAACCTCAAGGGTATGTTGAGGCCGTTCGTTTTGTGTGCGTTGTGGCTGATAGTTGTCCAGCGCTGAAACGAATCATGGAGAACGGCGAGATGGAGCTGGATATCATCGTCAATCCCAAGACCACAGAGGATGGGCAAGCAATCATCCAGGTTCGTTGCCCTCACATGTCATCTGACTCGCAGACGTCTTACCTATTTCATCTACCTCAAGCTTGAAACCGCTGCTGGTGCAGCGATCAAGCACTTCCGTAATGCACACGGTGTGAACGTGCCGCGGTCCCGATTCTTGCCTGTGAAGAGCTGTTCGGACCTGCTTCTTATCAAGAGCGACATCTATTCGCTCCAGCACGGGCAACTCGTTATTAACGAGAACCGGATGTTCGAGACGACACCTGTCATCAAGCTTGGAGACCACTTTAAGAAGGTCAGTTACGGTCCGGTCGCTTTCTCGCCTGTGATGCAATGTTATCTATTTTGTTTTGCCAATTGAGATGCGATGGTCGTTTACGTTTACTTTCTGCAGATCGCGCAGTTCCAGAAACGGTTCAAGAAGATCCCGAAGATCATTGAGCTCGACCATCTCACGGTGACCGGAGATGTGTATTTCGGACGCAATGTTACGTTGCGGGGGACCGTCATTAGTACGTCTATCACGTCTTCCGCTTCAGAACGCTATTGACTGGTGGCCTTGATGTAGTTGTCGCGAACGAGGGACAGAGCATTCATGTCCCTGATGGATGTATACTCGAGAACCGTCAGTCTTTTATCCAATTAGCTTCTGCAGATAAGAGCATAAATAACGAATGCGTCTTAGGGCTGCTCTCCGGTAATCTCAACATGATCGAGCTCTGAGCTTTCTCGTCACCGCTCGCTTTCGCGTCGGGACCGCTGCAGCCGTTCCCTGAGTGGACGCCCATTCTGCTGGACACTCTGGGCTCGTCGCGCGCCTGATGTCCTATAACACATGCATTTATTTACTTCTACTTAGTACTTAGACGACGCTATGGACACTGCAAAATTAGTTGATCGCTTGTTGATTCTTGTTGTTAATGCTGTTTTTGTTACGATCACGATGCTATACCTGCAATCTCATCGTGGATGCGTTTTAACTAAGCCCGCGTGCTGCAGGTGAGCGAGGGCTATCTCAGAGGTAGGAGGGGCCTGCTGTGAGGATGCTAACAGCCATTGGATCGCTAGTGATATAAAATCAAAACCAAACAACCCGAATTTCCCGAAATGAAAAGTAGTAGGAAAGAGCAAGGGTACATGTCAATAAGTATCCCAGTCCGTTGAACTCGCCAAACGTCTATCAAGAAATAGCAGGTTCACTTAGTACCGTCTTCAGGGGCCGAGAATTCGGCCTGCCAGAACCCATATGGACTCAGCACTCTAGCGGCTCCCCGATGGGATTCCACCTCTATCCTCATGAACGGGTATCGCTCCCCATCAACGGAGAGGTGGCCCTTAGAATACGGCTCAATCCGGTAAGCTAATACCTTGAAATAGTGTTGCTGGAAAAAATATAAGAAGCTACTTCGGCCGCGTGCTGTCCAAAATCCACCTACCGTAGACATCCAGTACGTGTGACCCTTCTCCGCTCCGTCGATGGCGCGCAACAACATCCACCGTGTTGCAGTCTAGGTGTGTCAATTGGGAAAGCGAAGAAGTGAGCCTTAGTTGCGGTGAAACGCGAGATGCGAGACTGCTTACGCAATCTTGCACGACGATGTCGATCAGTCCGTCGTCTGAGACAGCGACGGGAAATTGCATGAATTCACGGGAGACCCATGGCCCGTTTCCGGCGTACATGTATAAGAGAGGCTCATTGAACGTGACCCAGCCATCTTCTTCTGCGGATAGCATCGCTGGCGGTGATCCTGGAGATTTTGAAAGCTGGACAGTGGACTCGTTTGAGAGTGTCTCGTCGCTGGATCCGGTGGTAGGTCCCATGTTCAAAGGATCATGTTCAAGAGCGAATTGCGCGCGCGCCCTCGACTGACGTTCGTGCAAGTTGCGGAGCATGCGTTTCCTGTCGCTGTCTACTAGTTTCATGGACAACTTGACTGGGCACGGCTTTTTTCGCAAAGCTGGCGGGATGGCGGGATGCAGTTTCAGTCAGCAAATGACGGTGTCGTGATGAGATGTCACCTTCGTAGATATACCCTAGGACAAAACGGCTTCACAGAGGTTGTGAGATGTGCGTAGGGGGGGAACATGTGTGCTCACTTTGATCCCAAGAAGCGCAAATGTTCGGTGCCCAAGTCCAGATTGGCGAACATGCCAACAGCTTGCGAAAGGAACGAAAACGAGCTCTTTCCACCTTGAGATATGGCGCACAGGTCCATAGCCATAAGTCGTCCTACCGCATGTGAAGACGATATCAGGGCAGCTATTTTGCCATAAACCGATGTACATGCCTTTGACGACATTTAAGGCGGCGGCAGATACATTGTATCCGTCCTACGATAACGCGTTAATAATAGTATATGCTTCTCAGGATAAGCTCCTGCGAACCTGTGGTCCAAGAACATTGACAGCTAACGCGTTACCTGATCCACTTGGTATGGGAGCAATCGGCATACGCAACGCCTCTCTAGCCTGAGGATGCTCTGCAAAGCCATTAATGACCTCGTGAATAAGTCCGTCTCCGGACATCACCACGACCGCATCGTACTGGTCGAGGTTGAGAGCCTTCATGATTTCGATGGCATGACCTTGATGAGTTGTAACTGTAATTGGTTGTGTTAGGAGGGTGAAAATGCCAGCGATTGGTCGACGTGCATGTTACGTCCACTGTGCAGTGAGCTGCCTTCAAAATAGGCGCTACCGTTTTGGAGTAATCTACAGTTGCTTTACCCTGAGGGCGAAGTGAATAAATGATTGTCATGATAGACTTTTCGACGACTCGATCGCGTAACTAACCTTTCCACTCTTTGGATTCGCCAATATCTTAAGTCTTCTATTGCGCTCTAGCCCTATAAATGAACTTCTTTCATAAACATTCAATGTCACGATACAAGATCATGATTACTTGCCCGCATAAGCCGCATCCATGACTGATGTGGAAAATGTAATTGCAGTGTCAACGTCCTGAGCTTCAACGCTGCCCGTAATTTGTACCAGTGACAGCAAGCGCTTCTTCCCCCGCTCTACCAGTAATGAAACCTCTAGCCTTTTAGCTTGAAATTCAACCCATAAGACTTGTCTGACAGGGGCGTCTATGTAAGGCCACTTCTCTAGAGATATGCATCGTTTGACATTTACACTCCCAACTTAGCGGAATGTGCATAAGCTCACTATTGCTAGGTTGGCGTACGACGAAAGTCGTGCCAGTGAATGTGAGCGTAGTGGGAGACGTTCCATCGCCGTCGCATTGGATCGTTACGTTCATCGTCGAATGACCTGGCAAGAAGTTAGCTGTAGTGCCAGTGTATCTGACTCGTTGATATAGTGGTCTCACGGCCATGGGAAGAGCATGTGCACATACCGGACGCTAACTTATCAAAGTTTCGACGTGTGTCAAGCCCCTCCCCCGTAAGCTGTGTCTAGATGTAGGCCAGCACTATGTTCAGCGCAGTGTGAGCGAAAGTTACGCCACTTTAGCCTAACTGACATTACCTGGGTCCCCGAGCACGTTCAAACACATGCCTGCGTATCCATCAGCTTCGAGGTCTGTTTGATTTGTTCTATACTTGTTTTTCGTCTGTGTTGTCGATCATGGGTATATTATTAAGGACTGGGAAAAGCCTGTGCTTCGTCCGCCGTGGCGTCTCTGCAATAAAGTTTAGCCCAAATTCCCACGAGACTAACGAGATCGAGGATAGCTGGTTACGATGTTCAACGACAGTCTAAAAGACTCTAACATGAGCACAGCACCCGAGGTTACAACCTGGCATTGGCAAACCCACCACGCCAATATTTCTATGATGTGAGGCAACAAACGAGTCCCAAACCCCTCGATGTTCGGACCGGCTCGCTTCTCAAATCTGTTTTGCATTGAAAGAGGCTAGCCGCCAGCGGGAGTTCGCCCGGAGCTCGAGGACCGAGTGATCCTGTCTCATTCAACTCTGTAACAGGAAGGCTCTTAGATCTGGAACCCAGCGTGACATCTGTGTGGTGTGCCAGGGGCACCAAAGGAATCTTCGGTATGGAGCTCAAATCTGTAGCGGGGCTTTCTGGGGGCTGCGAGCATGAAGAATTTCTGCTGTACCGGCTATATGCTATACCGTACTTGACCCAAGTGGCTGAACGACCTTACCTTGAGGACTCCACCAAATCTAATGGTGTCACTGCAGTGGTGACCAGATGAGCACGATCAAATTTCCTGAGACTTCTGTGAGCCATAATATATATAATGGTGATCGTTGTCAACGTTGGACTCGGGCCCGAGTCAGACGAGCGACTCACTCTATCTGCGGTGCTGGCTCTTTTGCAAAGGGCTTTCCCAAATGGGAATTATGATACAGGACTACTGTAGCTGTTCGTCAGCGACTCGATGACCCAGTCAGTCCTCGAGAGCAGTGTTGTGCAAGGCGTATTATTCTTATCAGTTCGGTTCCGCTGGGAATCATAGGTTTTACCATGATTAACATAAGCGAGACAGAAAGGTGAAGGATGCAGGGACCAATCAAGACAATAGTATATTAAGCAGCCCAAGTAAATCAGTTCACAGAACGAAGCAAAAAAAAAGGTGTCCACAAATAGATCATGTACAGTAGGTCCATCCCCAAGGCATTAAGAAACATGCCATGCAATTATCACGAAGCAAATGAGTGGCATCCAAGCAACCCGCACGACCTCAGCCAACCATCCATGGAGCAGTCCCCGGCGTGCTCGCATACGACTCTCGGTCTTGGTCGCAAATACAGTTTCATCTCTATCAACATCAACTAACTCCTGCAAAGGGAACGTCACTCGTAGTCTTCGTCCGCGAGCGGTCACCGCGCATCCCCGGGGCAGGCTCTGCAGCCATAGCGGCAGGGGAGCCCATGAGACAAATCGCCCACGCGTGCGCACACGATGAGCGTTGGAGACAAACAGGAGCAATAGGCTGAAGATGACAAAGGGAACGTAAGTAGACAAATAGATGCCGAGCTGGTCTGGGAGGAAGCATGGTGAAGTGGCGACTGCTTCCACCGATGACTGCGTATTCGGGGAAAGTGACAGAAGTTCGAAACCAGGTATTCGCACTCCCATGGCCATTGAGAACGTTTTGACAGTGACCTCTGTCACATTCACTAGCGTCTCGGTGACGATATCGTTGTAGGTGTGCTCATACTCGCAGTAATCATGGTCGTCACCACTGTTTTATGTACTCAATTTGACTGAGGGAGATCAATTAAAATAACTACACACCTTAGCACTAGACTAGGACGTGTTGTCTGGAGGAGAAATTGTGATGTTTGCGGGGCAAGAGTATTCTGGTAACCAAAGCCCCGACCACTACGAATTGTACCGCGTTCTCGGAGCGGCCCACACGGTGCATCATCCGGTCGTGCCAAGGGAATATGCGTGAAGAGAACAGTCGACAAGCTATGCTGTTCTGGGGGAGGGGGAGCCTCACATAAGGATAATACAATTCACTGTTTGTTTGACAACGCACGTGAACCAAGGGACCGCAGGAATGCAACTGTGCCCTTGGGATTGTGGGCTGCCCAGAGCTCATAGGTCTGGCCACGATAAGTACGTTCCTCTTCCTCTTCAACAAGGCTAGGAGCATCAATCAGAACGAGGGTGTGATTTTCAACATCAATAATCTGATTTTGGGGGCCAAAGTGAGAAGTGTAACGCTCGTCCGCGCGGTCTGAGAACCACACAGAGGTACCAAGTCTTTGCGTAACAAAAAACTCGTTGTAAATCATGCTGAGGAATAAAATTAAAAAAAGAACAAAAACATACCCTATGTCGTGGTTTCCAGGAAGGTAATGTGTTGGGGGAGGCTCTCCTGAACCATACCGGAATATGCGTCGGAAACGCTGATGGTATGTCTCATACCTACAGTCAAAAATCAGGTAGTTGAATATGAGAATACAGCTACAATCCGACCGAACATCACGCTTACTCCTTGTCCGATATATTGGCACGCCCGCCATCCATCATGTCGCCCAGGAATATAACAGTGTCAGGGCGTAGCTGCAAGGCGGCGCGCCAGTTTTTGCGAAGATTTAGGTCAACCACGAGTTGGCTTAGCCAAGTTAGCCATGGGTTCCGTCCTGGGTATGAGTGTATGTCCAGGATCTGAGGGTCCGCTATTACTAGAACATGATTTGTCTTGCTACTGTCTGCATTCGTCCTGAGCTACGATTGGGTGGGTTATTCTTAGGAATTAGAAGCCTTTGGGATACGAACGGAAAATGTATGATCTGTAGTTGGCCATGAGCATCGCGCTATTTGAATGTTGAAGATAGCCAGTTCGTTGTATAATACAACAGTAACCCAGGAGACACTTAAGACATTATCGAAGAGAATATATGGTTTTGAGATGCCTATTCTCTTGAATCGACTTAGTGACATCGAGGAAGCGGATGTACATAGTAAGTAGTGGAGGTCCCTTGCTCGTGTCGCAGCTTAACGCCAGCCTGAGAACGGGCGAGCGCGATCATTTCACACGAAGTCTCCAGCTGGCGAGTGTACATATTGATTACGGCGGTATGCTGAAGTCAGTGCCAGTCATTGCCGACCCACTCTTCTACCTGCTCGTTGTCATCAACGTCCAGATCCGCTTATGCAAACTTGCAAAGCTGGCGGCAGGCTGGCTGAGAGCCGTGACGTGACTATATGTGATGCGACGCGTCGGGGGGCCAGTCCCCGGGCTGCAGAGGTCCTGAACTCTATCAGCCCCGACGAGGAGCATGGCGACCTCGCACATAATTGAAGTGAGTATTGAGAAAAATATGACGCATTTATTGTTGGTTTCATTCCTAGATAGTATAGCAAGAGCAGTCGCGCGGCGTGCTATGGCGCGCCTCCCTGCAAGGGATCGCTCATCGAGCTAGGAGTGCTTAGATACGGCCAAACGACTTTCGGTCCATACGGAGAATCCGTGCGGTGGAGGCATTGGTGAGCGTACTCCTCCTAAATATCAATCAATGTGCTTCATAATTTGGGTGGCCACTGCAAGGGGGTGCGCAACGCCAGAGATACTGGGACAACTGGCGACTGTGAAGTTGGAACGCGTTCCTGGGTTCAAAAATTTGCGGTGAGTATTCGTCAGAATGCATTTGCTCAAAAACGCGCTTCTTAGGTTCTGATTGATGGTACAGTCCCGAAGACCAAGCCAAGATCCGTATCGCCGTCGGCCTTCGTCGTGTCGCTCCTGATGACATACCGGATACGGCTAAAGTGCAACTAACACAACCATCTGCTAGTTCTGCAATGTCTTCGGGGAGTCAAAATAAGCGCAAAGCTGTTACTCCCATGTCGACGCCAGTAAGCCCCAGAGGCCCCACTCCTTCCTCATCCAAAGGCTCTCGCCTGCTTTCACAGCTGGCAGCCTCCCAGAATAATGAGGAAGAGGAAAACGATGACGTCATAGAAATCGAGGACAACAAAGACGAGCTATATTGTATGCTAAGAACCAACGTGGTGGGGATCCAGTATTACAAAGGTGCGTAACCCGCCCGCGGTGTTGTGTCTGTGCCAACTTGCTTGTGCACCTGAGATAGGTTTGGTTGGACCTGGTGAAGAAGTCCGCTTGCTCAGGCAGCCGAATAATCAGTTCGACAGAAATGCAATCCAAGTACAAAATATTGGGTCTCAACAGGTTGGACATGTCCCGAGAAATGTTGCGACAAAGCTCGCGCCCCTCATTGACAAGAATATTGTTAGTGTCGAGGGCATCATGCACGAGGGAAATCGTGAGTGTCATCTCATACTTAGGTCACCGCAACAGCTTACCAGATATCAGTAACCGGTCGCGCTTACTCCCTTTCCATGTGAGCTTCTTGTGGTCAATGCCACAGCATACACCAGGTATCTGAGTTTATTGTATCTTGCATCTAGGACCGTCAAGATATATGGCGCATCTGACAAGAGATCTCAGCTTGAGCCGCTTCTCATTTGGGCGACTCCAGGCCAGCGAGGCTTTCCGCCCCGTGGACCCAACGCTCAAGTCCCTGGGGCGCCTCCATCTCGAGTTGTGCCACCGCGACCTCTACCGGCCTCTCAACATGGGGCGTCGACATCTACTGCTGCATACCCCCTAGCGAGCCAAACGCCAACCGGAATGTCTGCGGTACAAATTGCCGCTCGACAGGAAGCATTGCGCAAGCAGCAGGAAGCGATGCAGAAAGCACAGGATTTAAAACAGACTCTCAACAATTTGGAGAGGGTCGATGATGAGGGGCGACGGAGCTCTTTGCTGGACACCTTATGCTCTGTGGACGATGTCTTAGGTTTGCCATTGCATCCAAGTCCTCCAGGGAAACAAAGTGGGGAACTAAAGGTTGACTTGTTGAAGCATCAGGTACGTATCGGAATTGCGCGCTGCGTGATTTTGGTTGTTCAAATGGCCTACAGAGTCAAGCTTTGCAGTGGTGTATTGAGCACGAGTACCCTGTCTTGCCGAAGAAGGAGGATGAGAAGCCAGTACAGTTTTGGCAAATCCGGAAGGCTGGGGGCAAGGTATCTAAAATCATTTCCTTAAGTGCTCTGCTAACGACTATGGGGTTAGTCATTTTACTTCAATTGTTCGTGTCCGGTTTGTATCTCTTCAAGTGACCTTACTAACCGTCGTTGACTCAAGTGGCAACGAAGACACCTCAAGAAGTAGCTCCTACGCTTGGAAGAGGTGCACTATGTGCCGACAGCATGGGATTGGTAAGTAAATAAATTGTCTTTTTTTCGACTTTGTAGTTTATTGTACTTTACAGGGAAAGACTTTGACTATGCTCGCTTTGATTTTGTCAACAAAAGCAGATATCCCAGTGGATCACTCCAAATCTACACTCATAGGCAAGATGCATTCCTCTACTTTTGATAAGCAGCTGATGTCCTTGTGCAGTTGTACCACTTTCAGTTCTCTCCAATTGGGAGAAACAGATCGCGGATCATGTGCAAGAAGGCGCACTCACGTCCTGTGTTTACTACGGAGCTACACGATCGATGAGTCCAGAAGAATTGAAGAAGTATGACGTTATCATCACGACTTATCAAACCGTCACCAAAGAGCACGGTGATTCTTTTGTCACGAAGACTGAGGTTGAGGGCCCTAGCCAGAAGCGAAGCAAGAAGAGCGAGAATGGCTTGTTCGATGTCGCTTGGAAGGTTGGTGTATTGTCAGATGCCAACATTATCTCCGAACTGAAAGTTTGTCTTGTATAGAGAATAATCCTCGATGAAGGGCACAGTATTCGAAATTTACGAACGAAGATGGCAAAAGCTGTGTGTGCCCTAACTGCGCAACGCCGTTGGGTGCTATCAGGAACGCCGATTGTACGTCGACCTGCGCATTCGATATTGCGCCCCTCATTGACGGCGGATCTAGGTCAATTCTCCAAAGGTTAGTAAGCGGTATGCATGTAGATCTGAACACTGAGCAAATTATTTGTAGGATCTGGGCTCCATTCTTACATTCCTGAGAATCTGCCGGCCTCTGGACAACGAGGATTTCTTCAAGCGTATGTTGCTGCGCCCTTTGAAAGACGGCGACCCCAGCGGCGGAGAGTTGCTTAGGGTGTGTGCTGCGTCTCATGTTAATGCTATAACCGTATCTTACTTATAACAAGGCGTTGATGAGTCATGTCTGCATTCGTCGAACAAAGGAGGTAAGGGATTGTCGTTTTTGTCCAAACATCTGCTGAGCTGCTTGCAGATGCAAGACAGCGAAGGAAATCATCTAGTTCCGCTTCCACCGGTGCGTAATGCGCGAACTCTGAATGTTGCCTTCTAATCTTATGCATCAAGGTCGATATCACCGTCGTACCGGTGACACTAACAGACGAGGCAAGAGTATGTGTTTGGATCTACTATCACGATCATGTGTTAATGGAATTTCAGGAACTGTATGATACCGTTGAAGAAGTGGCCAAGCAACGAATTGATAATCTGGTTCAGCGTCATGGAGGCATACATGCAGCCGCAGTAAGCATGCGTCGGGCCCAGTGCCGGCGTCACATATTCATCTCGAACCCATAGGTACATTCCAATGTCCTGGCAATGTTGACTCGGATGCGGCAGTTGGCACTACATCCAGGCCTCGTTCCTGCGGATTACATAGAACAGCTCCGCAACGCGGATCGAGCTGAGAACGAGCCTGTTTCGTTACATATCACGCCGGAGGATAAAATACGACTTCAAGGTATTCTCGCCAAAGGTATCGAGGACAATGAAGAGTGTCCGATTTGTTTCGACATCATGGACAGTCCCAGGATAACTGGCTGTGCACACATGTTCTGCCTTAGTTGGTGCGAGCCCCAGTTTTAATATCCGTGTCCTTTCTCTGACTTACTGTCAGCATCTCTGAGGTGATCACACGCGATGCGAAATGTCCTATGGTATGCATGCATACGACTTGTTTTTGCCATTTTTGATATGATGTACCACAGGACCGTCGTCCACTGGGAATAGGCGACCTTGTAGAACCTCCTCCACCGACAGAGCTAACACAAGCACCTGTTCGTGATCAAGAAGACGAGGATGACAACGATCGGCTTCGATCTGGTTCTTCTGCTAAGATCGACCAGCTAGTTCATCTTCTGAAGCTCTCTCCTGACACCGAGAAATCACTTGTATTCTCTCAGTTCACATCCTTTTTGGATAAGGTGCGTACATCCCTAAAATACTTGATGAATGACATTGACCCCAACGGATTGTTATACAAAGATTGCGGAAACTTTGGAGAAAGAAAGGTCAGTTTAAAATGGTCGCACCTAAAAAAATGACCTCACCAAATATCTAGCATCCCGTACGTCCGCTTCGACGGGCAAATGTCTGCCCGGAGGCGTCAAGAGACTATCGCACGCTTCTCGGTGTCGTTAACGGGATCATCATCCGAGTTAGAGGAGGCACAGGAAGCATCTGTGCGTTCAACTCGTCGGCGTAATCGAACCAGCAGCGCTGTCATAGATGATGACGCCGTCGATGCTCGCGATGATCCTGACTTCGCCTTGCCCGCCTGCGATGATAGCGACTTTATCGATGACGGGCACGATACGGATGCCCAGAAGAAAACAAAGAGTAAAGGTAAAGGCCGGAAGAAAACACGAATTAGCACAGCCCCCCCTTCAGTCTCAAAGTACCTTGATGGTTCTGCATTTGGCAGCGAGGTCAATCCCAAAGTGATGCTCATCTCGCTCAAGGCAGGAGCTCTTGGTTTGAATTTGACAGTCGCTAATAATGTTTACTTGTGAGTTTGATTCCAATCGATCTGTTCGAGTTGTTCATCTACTTATTGTCTCAGGATGGATCCGTGAGTGTCTTCTGCTGTTTCCCTACGGTATTGCGCTGACTCTATATACCATTGGTAACAGCTGGTGGCAAGTACGTACCTACTGGCTTTATCTTTGTGGCATTTCAGCTGACTGCAACAACAGGAAGGTATTGAGTCTCAAGCCATAGACAGATGTAACCGGCACGTCGTGTCCGTCGTCTAGCCCTTTATGTATTTAACATGCGTTACAGCATTGGACAGACGAAACCCGTACACGTTTATCAACTCATTGCTGAAAACACTGTCGAGGCCAAAGTAAGTGAATCGATTCCACGGATTAATATTGGATGGTCATGATTGATGCATCACAGGTCATCGAGATCCAAGAGAAGAAGAAAAAGCTCATAGATCAGGTCATTTGTCTGTTCCGTGCAATCCGTTTGCGCGGCTCACTTGGTGTTAGGCTTTCTCTGGTATCAAAAGCAAGGAAACACAACGCCAGAAGCGAGAGGCAAGACTACAAGGTTTGTTGCTCCATTGCGTGGCATTAGCATGATATTGATGACGGCTCATGCGAATAGAGTTGATCGCATTGTTCGGTGATCGGCATGGGTCCGCGGGAGAGGAAGGTAGTGCGCGCAATGAAAGGCGTACGCTAGACGAATGGCGTGTGTGAGGGAGAAAGTGAGGTCTACCAAATAGTTCATCTCAATCAAGTATTTCTGTAATTGCTCTTGTTGTTGTATACGACTGCCAATCGCTATAGTTTGTTTTCGAGTAATCCGTCGCCTTCGTTCTTGATTGTAACCCACGAGCAAACCATACATACATCAGCTCTGGAATAACTATGATACATACATGTTGGGTATTGGCCTCTGATTCCTTGTTTATTCCCAATCACTCTCTTCCTCATCTTGCTCACTAGTTCTTTTCAAATCCCTCACAGCTGCCTCCTCCTGCTGCCCATCCTCCTCCTCCTCCTCCTCATCATCATCATCACCATCACCATCCTCCTCCTCCTCTTCATTGTCATCCTCCGCCTCGTCGTCCTCATTCTCTTCCTCCTCACTCTCACCCTCACTTTCATCCTCACTCTCATCCTTCTCCTTGGCGACTTCGCTTTCTCGGACGTCCGCCCCGCTTATACTGCTCGCTTGAGCAGACACAACATCATAGCTGTCCTCACTTTCGCGGGAGCTTATGAAGCCAGGTGTTGAGACGCGCGACGGTACTGCAGGATTGGCAGAGACGGATGCGGGAATTACTAGTGAGGCGACAGACGTTTCAGTGCTAGGGCGAGTGGATGGAAGAGTAGTTGCAGCGGGAGCCGCAGACTTCGTTAAAGCAGTAGGAGACGTTGCCTCATCGTCATCGTCTTCCCAACTGAAATCTTCCTCGTTTTCCACTGCACCTGAAAAGATTTTAGTGAACTCGGGTAAGAGAACAGTTCGTTTCATATACCTCGCAGCAATGCTCTTCTTCTTTCTTCCTCCCGCTCAACTTGGTTCACACGGAAGAAATACCGCGTCCAGAACGCTATAGCATCAAGCTCTGTCGGCACTTCAAGGGCATGCAACGTCAGAAAGAGAACGTAGACGTAACACTTGTTTTGAACTTACCTAGCGTCTCATAGAGTACTCTCATTTCTGGACGCTCATTCATCTCCCAGTCTACTCGCTTCTTCCAGACATCTCCTTCTATTCCACCCACGCCCTCGCCATCCACTTCTGTCGCGGCCCACTTATCGAACGCTTCCCCCTCGGCGGCAGGATCTGCGCGTAGTACCTGCGGGTCGTATCTCAACTGTGTAAGCAGCGCCTCCGCCCTCGTCGTCGCCGCACGGATACCATCCATCGATGGTCGCCTGGAATCCGGTCCTGAGCTCTGGGATCTCCTACCCTCCGTCTCCCGTTCCTTTCCCTTCGCACTTGGCGGCCCGGCCGTACTTTCCACGCCAAATGTCGGGATCATCCATACGTCTGTTCCGTCCCACATCACTCCCGCATTACTGCCACCGAAGCCGCCCTCCTCGGGGGGAACCACACGCACTGCGTCCTTGAGGAACTCGCCTGCCTCGCGAAACAGCTCCTCGCTACTTCCTTGCATGCGCTGGAAGAGCTCTTCGCCGCTTCCCTGCATGCGATGCAGGAAATCTTCGCTCGTGCCCTGCACGCGCTGCAGCTCTGTCGTAAGCGTACTGCGGAGTGTCGCGAAGTCGGGCGCGGAGAGCGAGATTCCGCGGGCATGCTTGATAGAATCTGGAAGCTTTTCCTGCACAGACGAGACGAGCTGTGGGGGAAGAGATGCTTGTAGACGGCCTAAGAGGGTTTGCGATTGGGGCAGCGCTTGTGATCCTGAGTCAGGGTTGGGTGTGGTAGAAATGTCCTCGGTGTCTGCTGGGGAGATGGAGCTTGCGCTGGCTGAAACCGATACGGATGGCGTAGTATCATTGTCTCTGTCTGTTTCCGAGGGTGCATCGTTCGTCGACCCTGCTGCGGGTGGCACAGAGCTGGAATCAGCGGTATATTTGCTGAGCTCCTTCTGCGCCTGCGATACGACCTCGCCTAGGTCTTTACGCGCAGCCTCGATTACGGACTGGCTCTACAGGATACGATATGTACCCAGCATGCTGAGCTGAGTAGTCGGGTAGGGTGAGGAGGCGTACCTGCTTCCGGAATCCGCCCCAAAAGCGGGAAAGCTGGCCGACGACCTGCGTGACCTCGTCGTTTAGACTGGTCTCGGACTGCTGGCCTGGCGGAGGGGTCGGTGTGCCTGCAATGTCATATGCGTCGAGAAAGTTCATCGTAGTCTGTTTAGTTCATGCGCGTGAGCCGCCGCCAGTAAAGCTGATAGTCTTCGAATGCACTCTAATGACACTTCAAACGACTACAAGCAGGAGTACTTAAGTCCACGTGAATGTGCGTATTATTTAAATAATGACGTAAACTATTCGGAAGGATTTTCGCGAGAAATTTTCTAGGCGCGAGTCATCGCTTGATCCAGGACGACTTGCCTCTTAGTATCGGCCACCTCGCAACATCCTGTGAGCGACCCCCGCTCGTACATGATCTTCACGCAGAACACTCGCGACGAGTACGTTCTCCCCTCGTTGCTACTAACCGTCTACTCACCGCGTCGTGTAACAGCTACCTCAGCGATCTCGTTTTCTCTCTCCTCAGCCATTAAATTCAGCCATGTTTTCTCGCAACCTCATCCGCGTTCCTCGTCTCTATCGGGGCCTTGCTACTCATGCCACTCTCCCCCAAAGCACATCGCTGCCAGCTGTACTACACCTAAAAACTGGCCAGTCTTTCACTGGTCGCTCGTTTGGTGCTCCTCGCAGCATCTATGGCGAGACTGTTTTCTCCACTTCTATTACCTCATGTGCGTAATGTTATTGGCCTCAACACGGTAATCCTCGCCTCATCTGACCTCATTAGATACCGAGTCAATGACAGACCCATCCTATCGTGGTCAAATCTTGGTTTTCACGACTCCCCTCATTGGAAATTACGGCGTGCCCCACAACACAACTGCTGTAGATACGCAAAATGTTGGCGTAGTGCTTGAATCCCCCTCCATCCAGTGTTCAGCGGTTGTCGTCGCTGATGTCGCTGAGCGCTTTTCGCACCATACCGCCGTCGAAAGCCTCGCGTCGTGGTGTGCGCGTTACAACGTTCCAGGTATTTCAGGTGTTGATACACGTGCCATCACCCGGCTATTACGCGACCAAGGCACGACTCTCGGCCGCCTGGCTGTCGGAACTGATGCTACCCTCTCGCCACCCAAAGCCGAGGAGTACTGGGATCCCACCACTGAGAACCTCGTTGCGCAAGCATCAACCAAAGTCCCGTATGACCTGAACCCCACCGGTGACGTGAAGATCGCTGTGCTCGACTTCGGCGCGAAGGCAAACATCTTGCGGTCCCTCGTCCGGCGGGGTGCGGCTGTGACGGTGCTCCCATGGGACTTCGACTTTAACGCCATTCGCGACCGCTACGATGGACTGTTCCTCTCAAATGGTCCCGGTGATCCGAACCACTGTACACCTGCAGCTATCAACTTGCGACGTACACTTGCAGAGTGGAACAAACCTGTCTTCGGAATCTGTATGGGCCACCAAGTAATCGGCATGGCGGCAGGACTCGACGCGTACCGTATGACATTTGGTAATCGGGGGCACAACCAGCCTGTTCTTGCGCTAGCGTCCTCGGGTTCCATCCGCGCTGGGCGGGTGTACGTCACGAGTCAAAATCACCAGTATGCGCTCCGGCTGCAAGATCCGTTCCCAGAAGGGTGGGAGCCGTTCTTTATCAATTGCAACGATTCGAGTGTGGAGGGCATCAAAAGCACTGCAGAGTCAGGACGCAGGGTCTGGGGCGTGCAGTTCCATCCTGAAAGCGCGGGTGGTCCGCTGGACACGATCGAGGTACGCGTGTTCCTTTGTCAAGATTGATGTTTTATGTCTAATGCATTGCATCATTGTAGATGTTCACAGATTTCCTAGCGGAGTGCCGTGCGCACAAGCTACAATTGGGCTTGCAGACTGGCGATGTGATGGGCGCAAAACAAGAGGTTCCAGCACTAGGAAAAGAAGCCCCTCGACCGATTGCCGCTGCTGCTTGATCGCTATGTGAATTTCAAGGTTTCTCCATTTTTGTGATTGTACTATAGTCATTGTTAGAATGTGATCAGCAAATTGTAAATATGAATGATTGGATATGGTCTGCATGCGTGCATGTCTGAAAGTCTCCATCTCCCGGGTTGGCTGCTGGCTGGCTTAAAGTTGCGTCGGATGTCCCGGGTCAGGTCGACGGTTTTTGAGCGCCTGTATTCGGGATTTACCGGTACTTCGTGAAAATTCCACAAAAGGAAGGTGCTATTCTTACCGCCCGTATGATAGTGTTACCGGACATTCAACCTCGTGCGACGGAAAGCTGGTGTACAATGTCCTCTGTATGCACGATATTATCCTTCCTCTCACGGCAAAGTATCAGGCTTTCGTCAGGATAGCATCACGGTACCAAATTATAGATTCACAAGAATCTCATGAATGATATGAAACAGCGTGCGTGCATGTGTGTAATATACAATGTGCGACAACAAACAGAATCATAAGTTACGTGCGTTAGAGAATTACTCTTGTCTATATGTCCAATGCTCCCATCCAGCAGATGTGGTCAGCGCTTCTTCGTGCGCGTCTTCGCGCTCACCTTTGCCCTCGGCTTCTTTGCCGCACGCGCGGGGCCCTCCACGATCTCAATCTCATCATCGTTGTCTGTGGCACTCGATGTTGCCTTGCGCTTTCCAGGCCTACCCGAGGGCAGCTCAAAGGTATCCACGTCTATGACTTCTGAGGATGTCGATGCAGACAGCCGACTCAGCGGATGCTGCTGTGCAGGGCTCTGACGAAGGGACGAGGTAGAACTGGGCCCAGACTGTGTCCGCCCAGACCGATTGGACGCTGCAGGGGACGCTCTAAGAGAGGACGACCGTCGGTCTGAAGTGCCAGGGCCTAGAGATTGGGGGTAGCCGGGGAGTTGGGATTCGTCCTCCAAACCTGCCTTTGCTTTCCCACCGACGTCACCGTCTAGCACCACCCGGGTCTCCCGCCAGTCCCGCATGAACACGCTCTCGCTCGAAAAGTTGTCTTGGAATGTACGCACGGCCTCTTCCACCATCGCATTGTCATTTCGGCTGAGGATCGCGTCGCCCGTCATGCGCGCACCAAAGAGCTCGAGTGCGAGGGACGCCGAATTGCGCACAACATGCCGATCTTCCGATTGTTCGTCACCTTTGACGTTTGTATCTCCGGAAGGAACGTCGCCCAGGTATTCAGTCCATTCCCATGGCCTATTTTGCACAGGCTGCAGGAGTGTGGTTGATCCAGATGCATCCCTAGACGCATATGCAAGATCGGCTACGGTCAGATTGAGAGCTACATAGGGCAGGAGAGCACGCATGCGTTTGCGATAGTCGGGTGGCATACCGGGGGGCAGTTGCGAAAGCTCGAGATCTGGATAATTTCGGAAAGGGTCAAACGTTGTTGCCTTCGGATCGGCGGGTGCTTCTGTCGCGTTCGTCAGTGTCGGCTGCTTCCAGTGGTGTTGACTATAACGCACCATCAAGTACATAGTAAAGCGTGTCGAGTAGCAGCGGGAAAGCGACGACGTCTAACCCGGAGCCTTCGCCATGAAGCTGCGGTCTATCAGTGAGAAAGGGGCTCGCATCTCTTACATATTCACGTACCAGTCCGAGTTGAGTGATTGTTTGACATAATTGCTCACTCACGACCTTCGTTTGCGCTGTCCATGCACCAGGGAAGCCAAGATCAAATTGGACAAGTCGAGACAGGAATATGGCGCAGTGCGAAGCGTGATGGATAGTGTCATCGTCTGAAGTCTGTTGTTTCTTGCTGGCAATCTCGTGCATGATCCGCTCGAGCCTAGAATTCAGCGCTGTTATGAACTGGTCCTGAACGCCGGAAATGAGGGTTGGTAGCGATGCATCCTCGCGAAACCGTTCCACAATTTTCGATAGCAAGCGAAGGACCTCGCCGGCGCTTGCCACAAATTCTGTGATGTCTTCTGTCTTCGATGGGGACCATGGTGCATTAAATAGCTCTGTCATACGCTGCAATCCGGCATTGGCGAACTATACTTTCATTAGATATGGAGATGGGTTAATTATGGAAATAACTAACCTTCCCGGCAATCTCTCTGCTGACTTCCGTCATCATCTCTGCAACGAAGTCTGCTTCCTCTGGGGTCTTACATTGTTGAAATACAAACGTCGTCAGCTTCTCCAATGTCATATTGGCAGCAGAGCGGGTAGTGTCGCGACATAGCCCCTCTCCCAACTGCTTCAGCGTCAGTCGGATCTCGATTGCCGTCGCGGCGAGCTTCCAGGGTGTAAGAAGAGAAGATACCGCTACGAACCCCGTATCCTCAACTATATGCATAGTGTTGGGTTATTAAACGACTTTGACATCATGATAGGCGACCTACCTAGCCCGGGATCACGAAGCATTAGACGAAGGGCGGTAACTAATGACTCGTGCATATCTTCCGCAATTGCTTGGGATTCGAGCAATTTCTCAAAAGCATATCGCACAGCGTCGAGGTCCCGATACACGCCTTGCCGAAAAACACTGAACTTGCAGATCGACTGACGCAGCGCCATGCACTCTAGCCGCAGAGTTTCCGGAAGCGAAGGATTGTGCTCAATCAAGACTAGTGCTGGTAAATTATGAACAACAGAGGTAAAGTGAGGCTCTCGAAACACATCTCGACGTCGAGTTTGCAGGCCTTGCGCTTCAAATATGTCCATAGGCGGCATGCCATTTCCGCATTCATCCCGTAGGAGAAGATGCTCGAATAGCGCATTCACCGCAGACAACATTGTCTCCAGCATTTCTCCCTGATCATTGGACGTTGCTTGCACACCCATCGTCCACGTAGGATATATTAAACCTTCTAGAATCGTGGTAGTGTTGAGTGCACCGCATATACACAGGTGGAGGAGGACAACAGTGGCGACATCCCAAGCTTCCACGTTGAGAGCTGCCACTTCATTCTTGCCGGCACCAAGAAACCACTCCAATACTTGCTTGTCGAATCCGTCTGGGAGGTGTTGGTCGATATGCCAGAGGAAGTTCGCATAGCGCAAAGCGCATGCCCGGCGCCCAGCGATATCGGATACCATAACAGGTATCTGGCGCAGACTAGCGATCGTGTTGTCCCAGACTTTCCAGGCCCAATCAGGCGCCGCCATGTATTTGTACCACAGACTTTTGGCCAGGTCAGACGGGGCATCCGGGTTCAGATCGGTCGCTAATAAAAGGATCTCGGGAAGAACGAGCGGGACAGCATCAGAACGCTGACTGGTAGGGTGCAATGCCTGTAAGACTGGACGTCAGAACATATGCATCGCCGCACCCAATGTCTGCACCTACATGGGAGTATGCAGATAGATCCCCTAGCATTTGTTCGCGCTGTTGGGGTTCCAAGTAGCGCCCGTTGTCAACCTCCGTCAGCAAAGACAGAAGCGCACGAGTCTGTATTCCGCGCGTCCTCCAAAATTGGTGGGCAGCAAATAGAGCACCTGCGATGGTCCTCAACATGTTCATGCACGCCCAGACTTCCATGTGCTGACGTAAAGTCTCGATGACGGCCTTTAACAGCTCGTGATTGGATGCATGCTCGAGTGTGTACAGAGTCAGCTGCCCAAACCACATCGTTAGCCGACATGCGCTGACGTGCAGTCAAATAGAACTCGCCTCCAGCATAGATCCGTAACATTTCGTACGGGCCATGAGCACTACAGCAAGAGTGAATGTCTTGAGAACATCATGGCTTCCGGCATCCTCGCCGCTGCCTCGACTGTCGATTATCAGCACGTAGCTTCCTGCTCGAAAATCATACTGCTTCACCTGGCGATATGCTTGCGAAGAATGGGCAGTAGCCACTGTTTCATTGTGCGAACTTGTTCGTAGCGCGGTGCTGTCAACAACGTGCTGCAACTTGCCCAGAACATGGTCTGTAGTGTCTCGCCGGACGATGGGACCCCTACAGAAGCTGTCAGCGAAGAAACCGAGCAGTAGGTGATGAAGACGAACCCCCAAACAGCTCTGGGAGCAGGGCGCGAATTTCTTTCCGAACCTCGCGTTCATTGTGATCTTCCGGTGTTTCGCGCGCTCGCACCCCATACAGTGTCACTCTTCGCTGCCTGATCAAGGACGAATCCGAACTATGAATGGCAATCCAGCGCAAAAAGTCCCGATGCCGAGAATGGACTTCCTGTGTACCGGCATTCAATGAGCACCGTACGGCTGTGATAGAAAGTTCAGGCAAAGCGCTCACCTGCCCAAACAAAAGGCCCAACTCCCCTCGTGCAATCAAACGCTGCACATAGCCTTGATAAGAAAACAAGCCGTGTTTCACAAGCTGCCCGAAGAGCAGCGCGACCGCAGGGAGGTTCTCCGGCTCCGCGGCATCGCTCGATGTGTCCAGCCAATCGAACACCTCATCCTGGATGTACTCGTCCGGCGATGCCGCCTCATGGCGGATCGCGCGCTCCCCTACTTTCTTGCGCCATTCCCGCAGCAAGCAGGCAGCCGCATACGGACGGTGGTCACCGTACTGCAGCGATGTGACACTCCACGTGAGCAGAATGTCTAGCTTCCGCGAGAACGTCGTTTGCGTCTCGGAGGACGTATCGAAGAACATGACCGTGTCCATGTCCGTCTTCCCTGACAGCGAATTGAGCAGCTGACAGAAGCCTCAGCATGGTGTCTCACAAAATAGAATTAGAAATCCCTGGGCGGGCGCACACCTTGATATCTGAGAGCGCCGAAGTAAGGCTGCCGACCACACGCGGAGGGAGATGCCGAAAAAGCATGGCTTCGTTCCGGCGCTTCACATCAGAGAAATGGTCCAAGTATGTTTGGCGCAGCGCTTGGACACACTGCTCGGACGCACTCTCCGAAGACGATGTGGCGAACGTCTCTGATAAGGTTTCCTCTAGAACGGCAGAATGCATCACCCAGATACGAGGGCTGACAAACGCGTCTGGCAGCGCGAGGAAGCATCTCTGCGTAATTCTGTGAGGTTAGATATGAACCGTGTGCCAAGATAACCAAGCGTACGGAAACAAGGTCCTTAATCGTTGCTTCAAGGTTCTGTAGATGTTCTTTGGCTGATGTCGTGCGGATCTAACGCGGACATTAATGAGTTTTCAATGCATCGATGGGACGCGCATCTGTACACACCTCCATCAGCTTATTCAGAGACGCCTCCACAAAGTGATGTGTAAGCGCCCGGCTGACGAGCATTCCATCGAGGTATTCGTCAGCGAGACGGGCGACGAAGCCCAGCTGCGCTAGATTACAACTGCCCATCTGCTGCACCAGCCATGTGAGGAACGCCCGGTTGTCAACCAAGCCCTCGGCATAGAACGTTCGGAGGAGCTCCAGGCTGCAGATGTGTGTGAACGAAATGCAAGAATAAGCCGGGGACGAGTGTGGCGCACCAGTAGGTGAAGCGCGAGATCCACCGCTCGCGAGAGTCGGTGTCAGCGAGTACGCTCTTGAACGTCTGTTTGATGTTCAGCCCAGGACGCGGCGCGGACGGGAGAGCGATCTCAGACAGCTGCTTCTTCATGTAGCTCGTCACCACATTCGCCCATTCGAGGCTGTACTGCGTCGGGTTGTATCCAGGTTTATTTCGCAGACCTGCCTGCGCAGTCACACCCATCAGATGGCAAAATCGCATGTGTGAATCGCGTCACCGACCGTCTCGTTCCCGCCAAAGACGCGCAGAAACCAGACCGCACGCGGGATCGCGACATTGTTCGTATGCAGCAGATCGAGGAGGTCGTGGCCCTTGGCGCCGTGTGGCACGTTCTTTCCCAGCTTGTACAGCGGGACGTCGGGATCTGCGAGGTCCGTGAACCAGGTCTTCCGCTTCGTGTCGTTCAGTGTGACCCGCGAGGGCATGCGAAAGGAACTGGGCCTGGGGAGATCCGTGAGTGGTAACCAGTCAGATACGGCACTGTTACTAGACGTACGGAATGGCTGGGACGCTCTCGGCGCGCCGCACAAAAATTTGCCTCATCAAGTCTTCGAGCTCGGAGATCGCATTGTTATGCAGCAGGCTATTCTTGATAGTATCTTGGGCACTGTATGTCTCTGCCTTTCATCCAAGTGAGATGCGCGGTCGAAGAACAAGAATAGATGCGCATACAGGCACTGAAAGATTGAGAATCAAGCCATTTTTCATATTAATCTCGGTCAGCGTCTCTTCCTCGTCGCCTGGCTTGGGTGGGTAGTACCCGGTGTAGCCTTTTGATAGGATTCAGCATAGAGTCCTGTAACAGAACGTATAAGCATATACCAAGGTCCGCCATCGAATGGGCCCTGGGCAGCCATTCCGGAGGATGGAGCTCGTAGATCGGAGGAGGTTCTTTCTCTTCTTTGGCCATTAGAAAAGTATCCTGTATGGGCTAGTTACACGTATCCAACAAGCCATCATATTCAATAGGACAGAAGTTGGTGAAAAGACGCCCCCATACCTTGCTGACACTCCCAGTTCCGCGATCGGCTTGCACTGCCTGTAAGGCACTACAAATGGCCAATTCAGAGATCAACACGTAAATTAGAGTCACTCGTTCAGTTCAAAGAAAGATAAACACTGAACGAATCTCACATCAACAACGTGCTTGTAGCTTTCAATCGCCTATTCGTGTCATTTTGAGACGACCACCTTGAACGAGTTATTGCCGCCGACATCAATAATTATAATATCGGGCGCCTAATATGACTCACGTGATATGGTGATATCTCGGCCAACCCCGAGCGACGCTCGGAACCGACTTTAATTTTTGTTTATATAATTTCACCGGGTTTGTTCAGTCCATCTCGAACAAATCCTTTCTGCGACCCGGGAAGTCTATGTGGACAAACTTCTACTACAATCTATATCAACATGTCCATGGACACGATTGTTCTCTGTACTATGCACAGCTCTTCTATAACCATTCTTGACCCCTCGGCCTTCGGTTTGGAAGTAATCACCGCTGGTGAGCCGTAAGTGTGCCTAGTGTAAGAATGTATCCACGCAAGCGCACTGCGGAGCACGCTAAAACTCTGAGCTTGACATCCACACGCACATCGACGGACACACAGCGACCACTCCTATGATAGGAACACGAGTAGACCACTCGGCGAGTCAGACCCGCCGGTGCAATCCGAATTCTCAGTGCTGATCGAGGACACCATAACCAGGCGCACCCCGTACAGACGCTGCAGCGCCATTTTGCTGTCTGTGGCAGGAGCCAGCAGTGCGCGCCCCGTTGGCGGTGTACTTCGACATGTGTCCCGACTCGAGTGCGGACGCGCACTGAGGCAGTAATTGACTGATCCGATACAGTACAGGCTCGCAAGGAGGAAGCGCGCGCCTGCGACCCCGCGCTCAGAAATGTACGGCGCATGCGTCATCCGCTTCTCGCCAGGATATCGCAGCTGCACGGAGCCAGAGGAAGATCGGACGACCGCGCGATGGTGCCGATGGGTCTTCGCAGTAGCGAACGGGCGATCGCATTACGGCGGTGTGGCTGTCGATGCACCGCTGCGCTCCCCGATCGGGGCAGACGGACGAGGTCGAGCTCAATAGCAACAGCCTGATGGCAAAACGCTGATATCCAACGACCTCGGCCGTCTCTACCCCACCCGTGATGAAATGCTCCGCCGCTCAGCGGTGATAGATATTGCCCCAGGGGAGCATGGACTGCGGGGGCGTGCGTGGGCGGAGATAGAAGACATGCAACAGCGCGAGAGCCGGGGACCACCGGTCGTCGAGCTTGCGGGGATCCACTGCCTGCGAATTTCAGTGTCGCCGTCTGCCATTGGTGGGACGAGCCCACTCGAGTCTGCAGACCCGGCGGCAAAGGGCGAGCATTACTGGGGTGATGCAGCGACGATCCCTCCCACGGAAGCTATTTCTGCGGTATCTGTGCGCGCGCTGCTGCCCCGCGTAAGCCGCTTGCGCTCATTGGGAGCATCGAGAGGCGATATCAGACGAATTAAATCCTCGGAGCAGCGGACGTCAGCTGCGACAGCGGTGCGCAAGACGATATCCGGATGGATAGCAGCATGACCAGGGCATATGAATGGTGCGGAAGATATCTTGTATGTAAAATTTG